GCGCCAGAGTTTTGAATAATCTGGATTTTATGGCTGGTAGTGGAGGGGAGACCAGCGAGGAGGGCATTTGAATAGTCCATCCGAGAGATGACAAAGGCATGGACCAGGGTTTCAGCGGCTTTCGGAGAGAGGTATTGGCCGAGACAGGAGATGCATTGGAGATGGAAGAAAGCGGTGCTGGTGAGGGACCAGATGTGGGGGAGGAAGGATAATTGGGCGTCGAACCTGACACCTAGGCTGCGTACGGGTTCGGAGTTTTAGGGGGATGTCGGGTAGGTGGAGGAAGTGAGAACCGTGAGATTTTAGACGTTGACGAGACCCAAAGATTATGGCTTCTGTCTTGTCAACGTTCAGCTGAAGAAAATTTGCGCTCATCCAGCTCCTGACAGGCAGGCTGACAGAACATCAGGGGATTGGGGATCGCAAAGTGAGGTGGAAAAATAGAATTGGGTGTCGTCTGCATACATGTGGAAGTGTACCCCATGTCTGCGGATGACATCCCCAAGAGGGAGCATGTAGATCAGAAAGAGGAGGGGGCCAAGGATGGATCCTTCGGGTACCCCACAGATGACTGGGTGAGAGCGGGAGGAGAAGCCGTTTATGCAGATGTACTGCTGGCGGTTTGTGAGCTAGGAACTCAAACCAGGTGAGTGTGGTCCCACTGAGAAATGTATCAAAGGTAGTCAATTCACTTTACACTATATTCGGTGAAGCGCTTTGAGACGTCTAGAAGATGTGAAAAAGCGCTATGTTATTATTATATATAATACTATCATTATTAAGCTAAACTGAGCCACATGCCAGCAAAGTGCCATAATAAGCCTGGAGTAATATAGGATTAATATTGGGTGTGAAACTACAAAATTACAATACAATAATTACATTTGTAAAGCGCCTTTCACGTCGGGAGGACTAGGTACCTGGTTCCCAAAATATACATCTCGATTTCTAGTATGCTGGGTCCTATATAATGCTTCAATTAGGTCTCATCAAACATCAAACAGAATAAGAAATAACCTTTCATTTTTAACAATGATTTATGATGAAGCTGTCAGCAGAAATAAATTGGATCCAGTCATTTTATCTATCTTCCTCTTTGATCAAATAAATAAGACAGAAATAAATAACATGTGCTTGGATTGTGAACTGATGTTTATTGTATGTGTCCCATAGCCTATATAAATTACATGTGCTTTGTATTGAATTATTTACTGGAGTCTGGATATGGAAATACCAAATTGAAGTACTGAAACTGCATTGTTTATTCTCAGAAATCCAGAAAGAAAAACTTGTGATACTTTAGTAACTTATGTGCAACACCACATTCACATGTCAATGCATCAGTTATAAGGCACCATTATAGTGCCACACTCTTAGCCATTCTTTATATGTGACCGGATAGTGAACATTGTCACGCTATGCACACATGTTTGTGTGTGTGTGAGATTAGTAAAGCCAGAAACTGTTCTCACCCAGCATCCACTTGCCCATCTTTTCTGTTGGTGATCACAGAATAACTTTTTAGGAATGGTAATCTTAGCTATAAGAATCTGACAAAATAATGCAGTTTAGGCAAAGGCAACCCAGTTCCTGTTGAGTACAAGATTGCACAATCTTGGAAGGTTTGGTGGAAATATTCACACTGGTGCAGGACAGAGTACTCTTCTAAATTTGAAGACAAAGCACATGGTTTGGGAAGTGCAGAGGAATAGGGATCTTAGCTTGGCTCAGTGGTAGCACTCTCACCTGTGGGTTCAATTGACATGTCAGGACTTGGACTCACAGTCTAAGATGACAAACCAATGAGGTCCTAGGGGTTTGTTGATCATGAAATATGCTCCTATACTAAAAATATTATTCAACCAATGAAAATTTGCAGAAGATTGTTTCTTCAATCACAGTGTAAATGCTTGGAGTCAAAGGATGCTATATTCTTAGGCATTGTACTTTAGAGGGAATGCAAACAGTAAATAGCACATTGATTACCTGACAGAGCAGGTCACATTTTAAATAATATTCTGCAGTGTAGTCCATTGATCTGTTTGGAGATATATGGCTATGGTTTTGCTAGATGGAAAATTGAGTTTAAGTGAAGCTCTCTAGAAAGTTGGCCAAGGCCACAATTATTAGAAATCAATGATCAGTTTATAACACAACAAATGATACCTCTATTTAGTCATAAAATTGTCACATGTTCCGGTTTTTAAAACTTATAAACTAGTCTTAAAATAGATCAATGTACCCAACATCATTATTTAATTGCTTTACTGTTGGTGCTTCTGTATACCAGAGCATGGGTATGAATGAAAAGCAGCAGGTTGCAGTAAATCTTTTTGTTAGTTAATTGGTGAGTCGCTTTCCAGGGATTATAATCCCTCAAAAAATGTTGTTTTACTCAATCTATGGCTGTTTGTGGGACACTGCTGTGCACAATTGGTTGCCGTGTTTCACCTACAAAATACATTCAATTCATTTTACAGAATATTCTGTGAAGCGCTTTGAGGCGTCTCAAAGATGTGATAAGGCATTATATCAATTGCAAGTATTATCATTATTATTAAATCGTGAAATATCTGTATCTTACATTTATATAGCACCATTTAAGTAAATGACATGTTATGAATAACCTTTTTCACTCACATTAAATACTATAATTTTATCTATAGTTTATTTTTTTTATTATTTTTTTATAATAATCCTTGCATTTGACATAGTGCTTTTCACGTCTTCGAGACGTCCTAAAGCGCTTCACAGAATATACTGTAAAGTGAATTGATTGTATATTTGTGGGCGAACGCGGCAGCCAATTGCGCTGCGCACAGCAGTGTCCCACAAACAGTCGTGGATTGAAAGTGACCAATTTATTATTGTTTCATTTTTTGGAGGGATTATTATTCCCTCCAAAAAGTGAATCAAAGTGAATGCCAACCTCACAAAAAACTGTTGCCTCAATGCTTCCCATAAAACAATTGTTAGATTACCCACCTTTAAAACACTCCTGTTTTCTCAGTGTATGTATTTTGTTCTCCCCAAACAGACCATGAAGCAAATTACATAATCTTCAAAAGTTCTTTTGAGGTAGCTTTGGAGGCTGCAGCAAATGCTGTAAGATTTCTTCTGTATTGGTATTGCAGTTATTCGATGGAGGTGGCAGAAGACAGATACAAACATTATCTAGCATACTAGGTTTTAAGTTCAAGACCCACATTGGGACTTGGATTCACACAGCCTAAGATGAAATTCCAATGCAGTGCTGGGTGGGGGGAGTTGTATTGTGGGAGATGCTGTCCTTTAAATCTAGGCTCCATCTGTCTGTTGAGGTGGATATGAAAGAGCCCATAGCACTATTCGCAAAGACAAGGGAGTTTCTCAGTGTCCTGGTCAACAATCTCCTGAATAAAACTAATCACTCATTCTGTGGCTGTTTGTGGGATATTGCTGTGCGCAGCTTGCTTCTGTGTTTTGCCCACAAAATAGTCAATCCACTTTACAGTATATTCTGTGAAGCGCTTTGAGATGTCTCAATGACATGATAATGCGCTATATCAAATGTAAGGTTTATTATAATCATTATAAAAACAGCCACGTCTGGTGTTTCCCGAGTGAAGCATATGTATGCTGTTACTGACTCGTTCTCAAAAGGAACTGACACTTTGGTACAGCTTACAAGTCATATTTATATTTACACCTGGGAGTTGACTAACAATTTGGCTGATATCCCTGGAAATACCTGAATGAAAACAGTATACTGTAGCATGTTGGATGGGATATCATAGTCACTATCTGGATCAAGATCTTCTGAAAATCTGTTCCTGTTCATATATAGGTGGCACATAGTTTGGGCTGGAAGAAATATTGATCTAGTATCCTTGCTCACTGAGCCAGGAAAATTAACTTGGCACTCACTTTTGATTGTACCTAGCAGCTTCTGATGAAAATGAGGATACGGACAGGACCAGACTCTCCTACAGTTAAATAATCTGCCTACAATTACGGTCAAGGCTGAAACGTCAGTACTGAGGAACTGGGAGAGTTACCAGTGAACAAGGTATATGTAAACATACCCCAATAGAAAATAAATGAGTCAAAAGTCTTAAAATGAATGGAGGCAGAATTGGTTATGGGAAAAGACATAAAAAAACCTTCGATTTCTATTTAGATAATGCTATTCTGGAGGAATAATATATGAAATGACCAAGGCACAACAGATATTCCTTGGAACATAAATTTAAACAGTCTAGTTCACGCACAGTGATCACTCCATGTAGGTACCTTAGATTGCATAAAATGAGAATTTTCTTGTTGGTCTATAAGGATATGGCTTAGGGTGGATGTTTATTTTGTGAGCTGAAACTAAGTTTCAAGGTTATCCCTTTGTGTAATTCAGTATGTTCTCAAAGGGTGCTTCCTTGGCATTGTAGGTCATTAAGATGGTTTCACTTTGTAGCAATCGATCACTAAATTAGTACAAGACAAGCTGTACCCTGAAATGAATTTATGTTGTAATAACAGAACTAAAACACTGCTGAAACACATTGCCTGAACCATTAGTTAGCTGCCACCACAAATTGTCACTAAATATTTTGCATCTACAGTAATTTTAAAAAGAGCAATACATCACAATATCCAACCATTAAGGTCAGTGAATACACTGTACAGTTACATGCAACCACTATAACTTGAAATATTTTCTAAGTTTACCCAGTTGATTTCTGGCCTCAGTTTAAGATCACAAACCAACTGAATGTAAGTTTACGATAGCCGATTGTATTTGAAAACAAGAATTAACGATAATATAAATATTATGATAGTTGAGATTGAGATAGTACTTTGGGTGTGGGTGTACTTGTGATCCCTACTCACTCTGCAATAATTGTGTAAGTCCTATTTTCAGCACAGCCTTATACACAAAAGGTTTATTAACTATGGATCTACTGCATATCTAGTGTTTCCGTATTGTTTAACAACGTTTGCGCTGGTTAAAAATAGAATACAGGTAATTCTGGATGAAAACAAACTTTAAATTGCAGTGCCAAATATTTAATACACAGATTTAACACTTTTTACAGATCGCTCACCTTTCTAAATACTACCAATTCCAGGAGCATTAAACATCAATGGGGCAATACACAAGATAGAAAATGATTTGATGATTTCACAATTTCTATTAATCTTTTCTTGCACAATTCTAAACAAGAAAAACGCTTACAACAGAAAAATAGCATAAAGCTGTCTAGGTTTTATTAAAGGCTTCAGGTCTGTACTGCAAAAATGAAACTTGGCACTTCCACAGTACATAGAACAGCATCTAAAAAGGTACTCTGAACTCCTAAAACAAATACTCTTCAAAGCTGGAACATTAAATATGACCACCATAGGCCAAAAGGGTCAAGGCCGTAAATAGAAAGTGGTATTCTTTTGTTCAACTGTTCAGGTCTAAACTCAAAGTCTTTATATACAGATTCAAAATCAATCCATGATACTGCCAAAAAACTATGTAACACAAACTTCCTGTTTAACTTTTGGTCGTGAAATCTTGGCGTCTTCACTTTTCTCCTGTCCAGATCCATGACACATGGCCTTGCGTTTGAATAACCGAAGGCTTGATCGTAGAAGCTCGTTGTCCACAACTGGTTGGTTTGTATATATTTGCTTAGTTGTACCCTGAGACAAATAAGTAAAGTGAGTACGTACATATTTGAAACAATCTTACTAAAATAGTGATGATAAAGAGGATGCTCACAAAACTCATTATTCAATTTGATGACAGATATGGTATCAGAATTCTCCCTGACGTGTAAGTCAGGATAAAAAGAACACGCTGTACTAAATGAAATAATATTATAATAAATGTATAATGTAAATCGGAACACACTTCGGAGATTTCTAAAAAGATATTTTATTAAGCACATGTTAAATTAGGATTTGTTTTCTCTGAAGCATATTGTATGCTTCCAAAAACATTCGTATCAGTAAAGAGACCAGTCTTAAGAACTTAAGAATTTGCTAGGCGAAACAAGAGCGAGGTCCTTTCAGTTCGCTGTCCACCATCCTAGCAGTTGCATGACAGGTCGTATCCCAAACTATATATTATATCCCGAGATACTATTTCCTAACAGAAATCCACCTAATTTGTTCTTGAATGAATCAACAGTTTCTGCTGCCACCGTCTCCCTGTTCGATACATTTACTACTCGCTCACTGAAGTATTGTTTCCGCAGATTCATTCTGAATTTACTCCCCTTCAATTGCAGGCTGGGGGGGGGCTCTACTGTTCAATACAAGATAAAACAGCTTATCTACATTATCTACTCCCTTTAGAATCTTAAAGACCATAATCACATCGCCCCTCAATGGCTTTTAATATACTTCCATTACAAGGTTTTCAGTTAAAAATAATCTGTTAGACCATGAAGCTTGGTTTCTTGTTCCAATTAGATTTTAAACTGCAGAACTTGCCATTAGAATGTCAACCAAATACTTATGATTCATTATGAATAGGGCTGACAGTTTTCATTTAAAATATATATTTTTTAACAAATAGGCATTTATTTAATTTTTTGTTGTTGTTTGTGATCTTTTCACTACATAAATGGCTGCCCACATGTCATAAATTGACTATTTCTGTAGTACAAAAGAGTTTAATTTAAAAAAAAAGTTTAATCATAGGAATCCATTTTGTTGGTTTGGAGAAAACTACAACTCCCTAAAGAATACTGGTTTTCACTAATTAAAATTGGAAACTGACAAGTCTAGTAACAAAGGTTAACTGACCTGGACAGATTCACTAGATTCAGCATCACATCTTCAGATTGCTATCTAAAAAGCATCAGTTGTTAAATTATGCAGAGCATATGTTAACTGCTTGGGCACAAAGAGACACTAGACGCTAGTTGGTTCATTCCACATGCACTTTTTAACCTTGAATGCAAATTCAGTAACATAAGAGGACAAGGGGGTAGATACTTACTTTTTCGTTTCTTACTAACTGTTTTCGAATGGCGAGATCTCTGCGGGAGCAAAGTGCTTTACAACAGGGTCCCAAGTTACTGAGAAGGCTTGCTCTCTCTTCCTTTCTCTGCACAGCAGCCATGTTGAGAGCTCCAAGCTCATGTTCAAAAAGGTTATCTGTATCTATTAAGAGCAGAAAAAGTAAAGACTAAACAACTTTCATTGTAAAAATACAAAACAGAAATATATGTTTGCCATGAAAAGAAAAAAAGTGAATGAGATAAAACCACAATAATAGTCCTTGCATTTAATATTGCACCTTATCACGTCTTTGAGATGTCTCAAACCGCTTCACAGAATATACTGTAAAGTGAATTGACCTGTGAATTGTGGGCGAAACGTGGTAGCCAATTGCACACAGCAGTGTCCATTAATTATTATATTATAATAATCCTTGCATTTGATATAGCGCTTTTCACGTCTTCTAGACGTTTCAAAGCGCTTCACAGAATATGCTGTGAAGTGAATTGACCATATATTTCTGGGCAAAACGCGGCAGCCAATTGCGCACAGCAGAGTCCCACAAACAGTCCTGGATTGAAAATGACCAATTTATTATTGTTTTTGGAGGGTTTCCATTAATGATATTCTGAATTCGGCACTATTATATACTCTTATTGTCTGAAATGGAACAATTTTTTTGCTAAACTAAGAACCCAATCAGAAGGGGCCATAGACACCATAAAAACTTGCATTGTGGTATTATAACATGTGATTGCATCTGATTATTCTATGCTGTATTGTTTTACATCCTATGGACTACTACTATAACCCAAGAGATGCCATTCGGGAGTATGTACTGGTGGATAGTTTCACAAAGAAGCAGAAAGGTCAAGGAGGACAAGGAGTCAGACAGATCCCTGGATGCAGAGAGAGACAGAGACATCGTTGGTGACTAATGAGAGATGTCTCAGTGCTTGTGAACAGGATGGAAGCTGAGCAGCAAGTAGAAGGGAAGTTGGGAGCTAAGTGGCAATTACATGTTTCCAGAGCTTTGGATAGGAAGGGCAGATTGGACATCGGCTGGTAATTGAAGAATGAAGGGATCAAAGACAGTTTTTTTTTTTGCAGATACTAAACTAATCCATGTTCCTTCTTCAACGTGGCAATAAAAATGTTGTTTATTTCAATCCTTCAAACAAGTTCCTTCATGACTTTAGCAAGTCTAGCCAAAGGAACTTATTTTAAGTATTGAAGTGACTTCATTCATCAATTAATAGTATTAGCCTCATCATCTACCCAAAATCTCAAAACACTCAAATCTCTTCAATTTTAAAGTTGCTAAGAAGCTGAACAATAACTGTCAACAATTTCCCCCAACATATTAATGACACCGCTTGCCACTAACATTAGATTTATGCAACCTATGATTTTGCCAGACACCATCACCTACTTTCAGCATTTTAAATCCCATGGCCATTTCAGAGGTCATCATACACGTATAATGACATATAATGGCAAGTGCAGAGGTACTGCAAAAAGTGCATTTTTAAAAATGCATACATAGCCTTTGTTTTGTGGCATATTGCAGCAAAAGGTTATTTGATTTGAAAGCAGACTACACCCTGGCAACTACAAATCCATACACTTCCACCCTTGGTATGACTGAAATCAATACTGCATTACTCAAACCCATTCATCATGACAAGTATACAATGTGTTGCATTGATTTTTTTAATATAAAGCACCGCATGTCCATATCTTTTTCACAAAGTACTGTTTGAATCTTGATTCACCAGCTCTACACTACAACCAAATAAAATCCTAATACGTTTCAATTGTTTATTCTTATTTTCTGAAGCAATGTACAAAATACAGTCACTACACTTCGCAAAGCTCTTTGGGATGTCCAAATCACTTGAAAGGTGCTATATCAAATGTAAGAATTTAAAAAAAAGTTGATCTACATTTATCTTTGAAACAGACTGAGATGAACTGATGGATAGATCACATAAGATCTTTTCCCATTATAAGATAAGTACTATGACCATAAGGAATTCTGAGTGCTGGTGAAGTTAAACTAAAAAGACGTTTTGCTTCATTCAAGTGGAGAAAAACAGTATCTGCCTTGGCACCCATTATCACGGGCTGAAAATATCAATTTGATGTAAAAAAANTGCTTATTTTTACCTTTCACTTGCCAAGCCTTTGCCTGTCAGAAAGTTCAATATCTATATCTTGTATTATTCTTACAAAGTAAAGTTTTAAAGTTATGAGACCATGAAGCTTCCCTTTAAAAAATAACAAGTATAAACAACATGATTAATCTTTTAGTTGAAAATGATTTGGTTTAAAAGACGATGAGTGATATTGGGATACTCACTTGATAGTGAGCATTTTAGGCAGCTGAATCATTCCTGGATTTATGATTTTTCCTCTATAAATTCTTGATACAGTGAAGACTGATTATAAAGTGGTAGTTGAAAGTCCATAGAGTCCCACCCCTCCTTAAAATAAGACTATAATAGCTGGTTTCACTTCAAATGCTGCCTCACTTCCTTCGTGCAGTTGTCTTCCATGTTAACGAGTGGCCCACATCCGTCACTCATGTGACCTTCTCTGTGCAGCGCATACGCAAAAAAACACTGGCAGCGTATAGCAATAACAATAATCCTTGCATTTGATATAATGCCTTATTAGGTCATCAAGACATCTCAAAGTGCTTCACAGGATATACTGTAAAGTGGATTGACTGTATTTTGTGAGCGAAATGTATAGAAACATAGTATAGAAATAGTACTTCACACTTAAATGTAAGCATTTTTGTGTAACTTTATCCTTACCTTTAGTGTTGTTGATAACTGCTTGGCAAGTCTCATTCACCTTTGCAAACAATTCTGCCCCAGCTAAGCGTTTGGAAATGCCAGCTCGTAGCAGTACTGCACCAGGAGTGAACTTCAACAATGCTGCTCCAGGGGCCCTGGGCTCTTTATGCTGTTTGGGCATCAGGCTTGACCAATCCACATCAATCACATCTATGGGATCTGCAAAATTAAAAAAAATTATGTGCTTTGCTAAACAGACTACAATTAAGCAATACTAAATAAGGTTGCATTGATGTCCCAAGCTTGAGAATCATTATAACTATTGTGAAATGAAATCTGTTTTTTGTTGTGAAATATAACTTGTTTGTTGTTGCAAGGTAAAGCTGATTGTGCACAGATTGTTTATTGAAAATTTATAAAAGATGCCCTGAGAAAGTAGGGTTAGTCAAATTTGTTTCTGAAAATGTAAAAAAAATGCTCTTTTTGGACAAAGGATAAACAACTGCTGATAATAGAGTAAACAACCAGGATATAAAAGGAAGATACATGTGCTACACTGTGGTACACATCATTCATTCTTCCCACCCACGATTCAAGTAACATCAGGAGGAGAAAGAGATAACAACAAGAGAAGAAACAAGAGGTCGATACCCACTGGAAGAGAAGAACTGCCCTGAGATCTTGATTGATTCTTGGACTTACTTAAGTTGTATAGATGAATAAATATTCAGTGTATGTGTGTGTGTGGAGGGAGGACTGTTGTATTTCCATAAGAATAGTAACTGTTTTACATTGTCAGGCTGTTGTATTCCTGAAGCATTAATACATATCATGGTGAGTAAAGTAGTAAATATAATTACTTCCATTCCTCTATTTTTATGTCACCCAAAATCATATGGTGATTATATTTGGTTCTATTCTGGCCGCCCTTCTATGACATAGTTTACAGAGTGTTTAATCCTACTGTGGCTGACTCCATTCTGGGGGTTCCTTTATTACCAACATAACAACAATTAATTACATTTATATACCAACTTTCATGTCAGGGGGATAAAGTCATACACTTTGTTTTAATCAAGTTCTCACATTGGAGTTTTGAAGCAAGTTGTGCAATACAAAGGGCACCGTTAATGCAGCTTCTGAACACCTTGCGTGTATATAACAGTCTACCTATTTCTTCTTAATCAGGTGTAATTTTAAAAAAATCTTATAAATTCAAAAATCGTGGTTGTACAATAAGTTCCACCTGCTAGTTTCTCGTCATCTGGGTTCTCTTCCCTTTTTTCTGCATCGTCTGCCAGTATTTCGTCCAATTCATCATCACTAATTGGTTCATATTCTTCACATGGACCAGAGACAGACGACTGCGTATCATCCATTTTCCCATAATGCTCACCTGAAAACAACACAAAATTGCAAATTGCTGTTGATTGACCTGGAAAAACTGGGTCCTATTGAATTAAAAAAACACTGCAGGAGCACTTTCTCTCCAGGGAAAAAGTTTTTTGATTACAATACAACTATCAAACATCACTTGAATAATAATACAGTTCCTGGATAAATGATGCCGGGCAACCAAAACAAAATAATTTTCTTAAACAACAATGCATTTGCAGATCTGTGAAGCACCATTGCTGGATAAAACACAATGGCTTGGCTAAATGACATTTCAGTACCCAGCACAATTCTCTCCATTCTGCTTTATTTCTTGCCTTTTTGTGTGAAACCAGTAAGGCGCATCAAGTGTAATAGATTTTCCACAGCCCTTATTATTGTTAGAGACATTACCTTTATGAAGTGAAACTGTGACCGACAATATTGTTTAAAAAATTTTTTAGTTGGAGATGAAGCACATGGCTTTTTTAGTATTATTCCATCGAACGCGAATGAAAAGATTATGCGATTCAATTTACACAACTGCATTCTGTGCGTTTCAAACAAAACCTTGCCAAACACTTTTTCATAAATATGGTGTTCCTTTCGAGATGCTTTCAAACAATCTTACAGATATAAATTTAGCAAAAATGTTTGGGTATTCATAATAAAACAAATCCTGCTAAATACTAATCCAGTCTTAAATAGCTTTACATATCAAGAGTGCAGAAAACAGTAATATTTTATTTGGAACAAAACAGGCATTTAAAAAAATCCAGTTAGAATGTAATCATGTTTGATATTTATTTTACATAAAATGCCGCCCAGCTTTGTCAATTTTTTTTCTTGTAATCATTAGGATTCAGAAATAAGGCATTTGGTTGTGGTTTGAAAATGTAATCTTCAAGGGAACATTGTCTCCCATTGAACAGCTCCTATGAAGTCTGATTCTAGGTTAAATGAAATAATGATCTTTTATCTGCCTGGAATTAGGGATCAATTGCCTTGTAAAGCAGCACTTAATCTTTCCACTGCACATTTGATATAAAGTGCAACTCTCTGCTACAGTTTTACAGACTATACAAAATCATGGAAAAGAGAAGTTATCAATAGTTTTAGAATTTGAGTAATAATATACATAAGCAATTGCAAGTAAAGAATTAATTTAACCATTTTATTTTGGGTTCAGTATTTTGTTCTCATGGATTTGGAAACAAGGTCAACGGTATCGTAAAATCCCATGAGAAGATGACATTGTTCATGTCACTGTCACTCAACACTGACAGGGATTTCAGTCTTTAAATATTTTGGTCAGACTGGGACCAATTAAAATTATGATATGCCTGTCCAGACCCACCCTTTCCTCTTTCCCTCATTAGTATAGTTTTGTAGTTTTCTTTCTTGTGGTATGCTGCAGTTGGAGGACTTGGGATTATTTATCTTATTTATACAGAATATGCGGACCTGAACTGAGAACTGCTCCAGTTTTCCAAAGGAATACTAGAGACAGAATCTTCAATAACAACTGAAGTATAACAGGGAGGCCAACTCTCCTTTGGTCACTATTTCTTAGGGAGCTGGCCCAACCAGAAAAGAAATGTCTCAGAGAGGACCTTACGGAGACATACAAGATTCTAAATAGGACTGAGAAAGTAAGTCCAGAACATGACTTTCAGGTAAGCAAAGTTAGCAAAACAAGGGGACAAAGATTCAAGGTTGTGAAAAGCAAATTCCGCAAACATCACAAAGTATTGCTTTACAGATGATAATTAGCAACTGGAATGGGTTACCAGGAAGTGTGGTTGAATTCAGGACATGAATTTACGGAAAAGCTCAAAGTTGTAACGGATCAATGGTTGGGAAGATATTCTGGAAGGATGATTCAAATAAGATGAAGATGTTTCCTCATCCAATCATTTCTTGTGATCAATAATTTTCTACTTGATCTGTGCATTTCTTGCTTTTAAAATGCAAACTGGACTCTGATATCACACTGGTAAAGCCACAGAGATGAAGTGCTTTAAACATTCACAATAAGCGTACTTCAAAATAATGTAAATGTAATGTGTCGGGGAGGAAGAGAAGACATCATTGATCTTCTGCTTATGAAAAGTTTTGCATCAGGATTAATTATAATCCTTGCATCAATTGAAGGAAAAATAAACATGGTGATTGGGCATATGGTAAGATATTTGTTCTTGTTGGAACCAATAACGCACTGTTGCGAATGACAGTAATAAAAGAACTGAGTAGATAAAGAAGGGCTTAGGTCCTCCATGTAATGTCTTAACAGGATGACATGCATGTCCTCCAGTTTAGTGAATTATTAATTTATAAATGAAACAAATACTGGAAAGAAAGAACTTGCATTTTCAAGGCACCTTTGCATGCCAAATTAATTGAAGCACAGTTAATGTTTTGTAATGATGGAATTTGAAGGCAAACTGTAATAGCCAGAAAACAAATTATTTATTTGGATCATTGTTGGCATAGGCAAAAAGTTCCTTTTCTTTTATATATTGTCATAGGATCTTTAATTTTCTTAGAAGGATGAACAGATTGGACGTTGAAATAAGTCACATCTGTAAAATGTCACATCTAACAATGTTGTGCTCCCCTAAATAGCTTGTGTAACCTCAGCTAAGTGAGGGATTAGTTTGGAAAAAAAAGTTTAAGTCTCCCAAGCAACATTACCACAAAGAATTTAAAGGCGATGTTATGTTTCTCATACATAGTTAATTTGGAATGATTAATGCAGGAAACAAGTCTCAGATACACAATTCCATTTAAAAATTCAGATGTCTTCAGAAAATTGAACTGAAGGTTTCCCACTATTACTATTTTTCATGCAGGTTTAGAAGTTTAGACAAAATGGATGTTTCTGATTTGACTTTGAAACAGATCTTTTCGGGGAATTCATCCACATCCAAACCCTACCTTCAATGCTATCAGCTGGCTCATCAGCTTGTACCTCTTCATTTTCTTCCTCCTTCTCTAGTTCCTTCAGATCTTTTCCAGAGCTCACTGGTATAGCTTCAGTTTCAACTTGTTCAGACTGTCTCTCTGGTTCTCTTCCTGGTCTTGGTTCAAGTTTGGGATGTTCCAATATGGAGGGAGCTTCCATGGTTCGTTCTCTGTCTTTTTCAGGTACTTCAATTGCTGGTTTCTCTCTCTCCTTGATGGCCTCTCGCCTTCGGTCTCTATTTCTGTCTCTGTTCTTAACCCATTCTCGGTGCTCCCCATCCCGCTCCCAATCTCTTCTCTCTCGTCTTTCTAGGTCTCGCTCATTTTCACGCTCCTGAAGCTTTTCTCTGCTCTCAAAGGACCCAGCCCTGGAATGTCCCTGTCTATCAGATTCAGGTGAGCTTCTTCTAGAACTATGACTTCTTGAATCTTGACGATCTATGAAACACGTTAAAATCACGTTACCCTCTGACCAATTTATGGATTGAAAAATAAACTTCTGAAAGTATTGTTCGAAATCAGCTCCTAAATATGCACGGACAGCATTGTAACCTGATGTGCTAATTTATGAAACAAATTCCATGCCCAATAAAAGAAACACATTGTAAGTAATTTAAAACTTTACCCTATTATAAGAACAAGGAACAAGAGGTTATGAAAATATATATTTAAAAATTCTAGATCAACCAACAGAAAAATTAACCAAGATTCTGATGAGAGAAAGGCCCTTTCAAAGTCTCGTGAATATCTTCTAAAATATTTAAGTTTTTGAGGTGACAAATGAATGCATCAGGCTGAGCTGCAAGGGATTAAAAGCATTTTAAAAAACTTTATACTGTGATGATATCTCTTTAGAGAAGCACACGAATGCTCAACAGTAAGCAATTCCATCTTCAAAAGGAACTCAATACAGATACACAACGATTTACAAAGAATATACATCATGGAAACAGGCCGCTCGGTCCAACAGTCCATGTCGGTGTTTATACTTCACACAAGTCTTGACCCATTCCTCACTCCCTCCCATATCCCTCCTATAACCCTCTCCCTCATGTGAAGCATGTTTGATTTCGGAAGCATATTAGATTTTAATGCAACATAGAAGTCCTTGCATTTAATGTACCGCCTTTCATGTCAGGAAGATAACTCAAAACTTCACAGGATTAACCATGAAGTGTAGTGACTATGTATTTTGTATGTGGCAGCTAATTTGAACTTAGAAATGGCCCACAGACAGCCATGAAACGAATGACCAATTTTATCTGGGGAACTTTTTTTTTTAAAACTAGGACACTTGTAAATTCCCTTCTCTTTTTGAATAGTGTCTTGGGATAGTGTCTTAACGTCCACCGGAACAGGCAGATTGGAACTCAGTTTAATAGCTCATCCAAAGGACGCCATCTCCAACATTGAACACTCTCCTAGCACTGTATTGCAGTGTCAATCTAAGTTCTTAAGTTTATGAAATATCCTTAAATGTTCAGGCAGGAGTTCAAAATCATTGTGTTATGTGGAAGTCAATTACTGTACATCTGCAAAATAATAATAATTCTTGCATTTGTTAAAGCGCTTTTCACGTCAGGAGGACGTCCCAAAGCGCTTCACGGAACACACTGTAAAGTGAATTGACTGTAATTTGTGGGCGAACGCGGCAGCCAATTGCGCACAGCAGTGTCCCACAAACAGTCGTAGATTGAAAATGACCAATTTATTATTGTTTTTGGTTTTGGAGGGATTATTATTAGGCGTGTGGGGTAAGGAAACTTGCCCAAGGTTTCGCCCTCTGCCTGGAATTGAACTCAGGTCTCTCGCTTGCAAAGCGAGTACTCTAACCAGAGCTACAGGACTCCAAAATGTCCCCTTTGTTGTAAGCACTGCATTTTCAAACAGGATTCCACTCTGACTTACCACTCTGTAAGCTACAATATACTGTATAAGCAAAGCCAAATTATTACCTGAAGATGTACTGCGACTGGGCTCGCCACGTTTTAGCTGATCTATTCGGGATTTTCGTTCACCGGAATCGATACTTCTATTCTTTTGCCCATTTCTGGTAGTATTACTGTGTAGTCTCCTTGCGCCACTTTGATCATCTCCACTGCGATGTGCAGACTCATTGGATGGAGATCGTAAACGGCTTGAGGTCCGACTTCGATTGCTACCAAGGCTGCTGCTTCTTTTGTGGTCGGCAGTTTTACGTGGTCGTTCCTCCACTATGATGATAGGCTCCAATTTCTCCACTTTGTTTCTGTGTCCTTTTTTCCGAGCTTCATCCAAACTCTTGTCAGCAATAATATTCTCATTGCGATCTGGCACATCTTCATCTGACCAGTCACTGAAAACTACATCAGCTGCTGCTGGTGGAGTTGGTTCAATGCTCTTTTCAGGTACTACTACCACCACAGCTTCTTCCTTCACTGTCACAGGTGGAGTTCGGGGACCTTTCCACCTTTTAGCTAGCTGGGCCACTTCCTCGTCAGAGGATTCAGAGTCACCTTTGGAACGTTTCCGCTTTTTATCAGCATTTTTCTTCTTTGGAAGTTTTTTGGGTGACAAAATTAAAATCGGTAACGGAGGATCTGGATTCAATCTTTCCAACACATAGTCTTCATCTCTTTTGTTTTTCTTTTGAGATTTTCGCAGTCCTTTCATCTTTTTCTTGCCATGTTCATGCACTCCTGCAGATCCTTCTTTTTCCTCAGGTACATGGTGAACAGTGCTGTCCAATTCTTTGCTCCGTGAAGTCTCAACAGTATCTGCCACACGTTCTCTTTGCTTGTCTCCTGAAGGAACCTTTTCCCTGTACTCACGCTCTTCACCCCTCCTTGTACTTTCCTTTTTGTCCGCTTTTCTGTCATCTTCTTTCCAAATGCTTGGTCTTTCTTCCGGCAGACGTGCAGGACTCAGAGAACGAGAGTCTTGTGGCCGCACAACCTGACTTAACAACCGGTGCTTTTCATCTGAAATAAAAACAGTCAAATTAAGTTTACTGGATCACATACATTTTTAAGATAAAAAGCTTTGAGATCATTCCATAATATCCATTCCATCTGAACTGCCAGAATGCATATCATGCTAACTCTACCTCTCTGACCTGCTTACCCCCCAGCCCACAACTCGCTGCCTCCGCTCGACTGGATCCAGCCTTCTGCATGTCCCTCGTGTCTCTCTGTTCCACCATCCATTGGCGGTCGCGCTCTCTGCCACTATACCGCGAAACTCTGGAACACTCTTTCTATATCCTTTGTTTTGCCCCTTCCTTCCCCACCTTCAACTCACACCTGAAGAGTTTCCTCTTCGACCGTGCCCTATGGTCACCCCCTCCTCCTCCTGGTTTGGCGTCGTGCTCCACCACTGTCAAGCGCTCTGGGACGCTATGCTGCGTGAGGTGTGCTATATAAATTGATTGGATGCCTCACCACTATAGATTTGTTAAAGGGGAATGCCAGCCAACTGTGAAAATTCTGGAGTTCAGTATTCAATATTAAAATAAAGTTCAACACATATTACACACTTACACAATTTGTAACATTGGTGTGAAATAACGGTACATTTGATATTTATCACACTAAATGCACTAGGATGTGACAGAAATGGCAACCCACTCTGTTCTCAATGGTGACTTCTGTGGAACATTGGACTTCTAGCTTGACTGCCATGTATTCTGCCAACTGCAAATTCAGTCCAGTGGCTTTGAATTCACATATGCTATCATTCAGAATATTGGGGGGAGCAAGAGGGAAGAAAGTGGTATCTTCCACCTCTAGAACATCCAATGATAATTATAATTATCTCATATACTGCTAAGTTGACCCAGTTTTAAACTGTCTTGGAGCCTTCAACAACAACAATGTACATGTATATAGCAGCTTTCCTGCAGGGTAGTGTCCCGAAGAGCTTCACAGTGGCGGAGTCTGATACCAAGCCAGGGGAAAAGGGAGGGGATGAGGAGACCATAAGAACAATCAAAAAGAATGGTCTTTAGGTGGGATTTGAAAGTGTGGAGGGCGAGTGGGCAAGGTGGAGGGATTGAGGGAGAGTTTCAGGGCGTAGTGGATGAAGGCCGGCCACCGACAGTGGAACAGAAGAGACAAAGGACAAACTGGAGGCTGGAGCCAGCTGAGCAGAGGCAGCGGATAGTGGAGTGGGGGGGTTAGCAGATCGGATAGGTAGGGAGGTGTGAGGGTACGAAGGGAATTGAAAACGAGTGAGAGGATCTTGAACTCGATCCATTCAGTAATTGGGAGCCAGTGGAGCCTGGCAAGGACTGGTGTGATGGGGGTATGGAGTTTTGTGTGGGTGCATATCCGGGCGGTGGAGTTTTGAATTAGTTGTATTTTGCATATGGTGGAGCTCGGGAGATCAGCAAGGAGGGCATTGGAATAGTCCAGCCGGGATGGAGCCATCGGGTACCCCGCAGGTGACCAGGGAGGGAGGAGACTTGTATAAAGAGCAGAATTTTTTGTGCAATAGCTAACCTTAAATGAAAGTGAATCAAAATACTTGCTTAACTTGCATTTCATCTCTGATAAACATGGTCTATGTGTTATCTACTGTGCAAGGCTCTTACTTTTCTCCTCACTACTGTTGTAGGTATCACTATCAGGAGATTCCTCACGGGCATGCTTTTCAGATGGACTAAGGCTGCTTCCATTTCGAGGTCGTTTTCTGGCAGAAATACAGGGAATAAATTTACTATTAAAGATACTGAAACAATGAATGTTCGCACCATTAATCCTACAGTTAATTAATTGATTGGATTGATGATTTTTAAATTAAGCGATTCGCCCCAAAATACAGTCAATTCACATTATATTCTGTGAAGTGCTTTGAGACGTCTCAACGATGTGATAAGGTGCTATATCAAATGCAAGGATTATTATTATTATCCAAGGATTAATTGCAGCATCGAAAACCCTAGTTTTGAAAAGTAAAGAATCTTTGTTTAATGAATGCATTTTATTAAAAATGCCACATTGCAATTCTCATAGAAAATGTTTGGAGAAAATAATTTCTTTAGACATAAAAAGGAAACCGACAAATGCTGAAAATCTAAAATAATTACATAAACAAGTACGTAGGTAAAACAGAGGCGTGTGGAGTGAGAAAACTTGCTCAATGTTTTGCCTTATCCGAGAATCAAATCTAGGTCCTCTCGCTTGCAAGACAAGTGCTCTAACCACTAAGCTACAGGACTCTACTTCTAGCAAGAGGGTTAACAGATAACATTCAAAAATGAGAATCTTGATCAAGTTGCCTATTGAGGCCAGGTATGGTGTCTAAACTGCTATCTGGCTGAAATTTCAAGTGTGGTCTCCTTCTTGGGACTATATAGAACAGTACCACACCGCGTGGAGCAAATATTTTTAAATGATGAAAAAAGCATTACATAAATGCGTTAAAACATTCTGACAAAATGAGACGGTAACATTTCTCTCGACTTACAGAATTCTTGTGAAAACAGATCCTTTACATTTTAACATGATCACTTGTTGGAAAATGTGATACATCTGCATTTAATGTTATTTCATGATTTGATATGGAATAAGTTTAAATGAATAGAGAAGTCCTCCATTTCTGACATAATCCACAAGCTGTTTTTGCAAAGGTATCTGGAATTAACGCACCTTGATTTTCTTTCTCCATGAACTTCTCTCAAATCTCGTTCTTCTCTTTGGTCATCCTTTTTATCTTTGCGTTCGTCTCTTCCTTTATCTTTCTCATCCCAGTCTTTTTGTTTCTCTTTTTCCCTATCCCTCTCTTTAACTCTTTCCCTCTCCCTCTCTTTATCTCTGTCCCTCTCTCTTTCTCGATCTCTGTCCCTTTCCCGCTCCCGTTCTCTCTCTCTCTCTTTGTCTCTTTCTCGTTCTTTGTCTCGATCTCGTTCACGGACTCTTTCTCTCTCTCTTTCTCGATCTAACTCCCTTTCCTTTTCTCGTTCCCGTTCCCGATCTTTCTCACGATCCCTTTCACGTTCTCGTTCCCTGACTCTCTCATCCCTCCTCTCCTCTCGATCTGTTCTTCGTTCATCTTTTCTTTCCTCATGGTCATGGTCATCAGTCCGCCCTTGATGCCTTGTTGGAGAACTAGGTCTGTGGTCTGCAAGTCAAAAGACATGATCAGAATTAGTGAAAAACAGGTTACAAGAAATTTCAAATCTCTCAGCTCTAGATGACTGTGGATGCAAAATTGATTGGGATGTTTAAGAGGGAGAGATAGACAGCTAGAAGGATATTATGGCATATAGAGAAAAGGTGAGGAAATGGGTTGAAAAGATCCATCATAATCTACTAAACTGGCAGAACAGCCTACGCGTGTTCCTACGCTTTACCAGTTTACAGTTGAACAGTACTGTACAAAACTTAAAACACCATCCTAAATATTTTATCTAAAATATTCTTGACAGTATTCAAATATGAATATTTTTATATAAGTTAATAATGGTAAGATTGTTATTAAAGTCACTCAAAAGGTTCTTTTGGAAATTTGTGATTAATGTTTCAACCTGATCAGTCGTCTGCATTTTGGTTTTAGACCAATTAGCTTCATTGGGAAGAGCGCTAAACCTTATTTTCCTTTAATAAACTAGTCACTATTTATTGCAGCACTAATATAGACATACCCCTTTCACGATCTCGGTTTTCACGTCTGTCTCTTTCTGCATGACCACGTCTGTCGAAAGAAGCATCTCTGGTTTGGTCTCGATCATATCGATCTCTTTCCGAGTAACTACTTCTTGTATCCCACGTTTCATGGTAACTGCTGGCGGTGCCATGACTGTCAAACTGATTCCCCCTGGCAGTTCCACGGCTCCCTGAAGAGGCGAGAATTGTGATTATATTACGGTACAAATTAGCAGCACATCAGCTTTGTATAATATACTTTCAAACTAAGTTGCTGAAATATATATCACAGATAGAGTTATATATGGTGTCTGTTAGCCCATTATTGGCTTATAGTTCCATACATTTTGTGGTGAAACCAGAACAGTGCTGTTTCTTATCTACAAAACCGGTTGCAGATGAAATACATTTTTTATAAACCTTACACAACAACAACAAAATTACACTTGTATAGCACCTTTCATGTTGGGAGGACGTCCCAAGGCACTGAATAGTCAATGTTTCAGTTTCGAGCTGGAGAGCAGGTAGGGAAGGATGGTGGCCTAAGGCACGATCGAAGAGGAGGGTCTTCAGACAGGTCTTGAAGGAGGCAAGGGAGGGGCCGAGGCAGAAGGATGGTACTGCACCTAAAATATTGTGTGCAGTTTTGGTCTCCTTATTTAAGAAAGGACATACTCGCCCTAGAGGGGGTGCAGCGTAGATTCAATAGGTTGGTTCCTGGGATGAGGGGGTTGACCTATGAGGATAGGTTGAGTAAACTAGGCCTATATTCTCTAGAATAGAGAAGAATTAGAGGTGATCTTATAGAAACCTATAAGATTCTTAAGGGTCTTGACAGAGACTGTTTCCCCTGGTTGGAGAATCTAAAACTAGGGATCATAGTCTCAAAATTAAGGTTCAGCCTCTTCGAACTGAATTGAGGAAACATTTCTTCACTCAGAGGGTAGTGAATTTGTGGAATTCTCTACCCCAGAAGGCTGTGGATGCTCAGTCCTTAAACATATTGAAGACTGAGGTTGATTTCTAAAGGATAGAGGGATTAAGGGATATGGGGATAGGCCGGGTAAATGGAATTAGGTTAGAAGATCAGCCATGATCTTATTAAATGGTGGAGCAGGCTTGAGGGGCCGAATGGCCTACTCCTGCTCCTACGTCTTATGGACTGCGGGATGCAGTTCCAGAGGGGGGGGGGGGGCAGAGTGGCTGAAGGCCCACCAACCAATGGTGAGCGGACGAGGCGGGGACATGATGCAGGCCGGAGCCTGCTGAGCAGAGGGAGCGGGTAGGTTGGTAGGAGAATGAGGACCATGATCTTGAACTGTATCCTGTGTGTGATTGGAAGCCAGTGGAGTCAGGCGAGGATGGGGGTGTTAGGATCACGGAGCCTGCTGCGGAGAGGACATAGGCAGCAGAGTTCTGGATGATCTGCATCTTATGGAGGGAAGAGTTGGGGAGGCTGATAAGTAGGGAGTTTGCATAGTGCAGTTGTTTTCCAATTGAAATAATGTATGGCATGGCAAACACAATGCTGGAAATTCTTACCTACCTTTGGATTGACAAAACCAATGTACCTTACAGTTACAGACTATATAAAACTATTGTCATTAAAAGCTGAAACAGATGCAGATGGGGAAAGGGTAAATTGTGAAATAAGTGAATACCTAAAGTTCATTTTTCTTGTTTTTAAAAAAAGTATGAAATGGTTGCCCCAAATCTAATAATATGGACATCTCCTGTTGAATTCTGCTAGATTAGGCTCATCACAGGTATGAAATTTTCAATGTGGTTTATCCCCCACTTTTTGGTCAAAACAAAGTGTGGCAGCCATGTAGCTTGGCTCCACTTTGGTGCCCTTGACAGTACAGCAGCCTGTTGAAGCTCACTGTCAAGACTTATAACAATAATAATCCTTGCATTTGATATAGCGCCTTATCATGTTGATGAGACACAAAGCACTTCATAGAATATACTGTAAAGTGGATTGACTGTATTTTGTGGGCAGAAAGCGATACACCAATCGGGTTCCTACTCACTGCTAGGTACAGAAGCGCGTGGAGTAAGGAAACTTGCTGAAGGTTTCGCCCTGCCTCGGAATCGAACCGGAGTCCTCTGAGGTGAGCGCGCAAGCCACTACAATTCAGGGTTCCACAAAGTCCCGGTTTAATGTCTCATCTGAAGGACTGTGTGTCGACAATGTGGCATTTTCTTCCCCCAGCGCTGCATTGGATCGTCATCTTAGACTATGTGATTCCAAGACCTGAATTGGGGTTTGAACCGCCTCTTCTCAGAGGCGAGAATGCTGCCACTGAGCCAGGCTAACACAATGAAGCTGGTGTCTCAGTGAATGCCACCGAAGACATGGCACTGATGTCACTATCCCTCCGTATTATACACACACGCCACAGACAGGGTAACCGTGCCAAGAACAGGAGGTTCAGCCATGTTCATCCCACTCAGCGGCTGTCAACCCTGAAAGCCAAAGCTCTAACTAGCAGTGTGTTCCCCGATAGGCGGTTTTAGCTGGTTAGACTCCAGCAGTTACTCTAATGCACACTCTGGGATTCCCAAGCCTTGGATCTTACCAACCTGTACCTAATACTCTCCGGGATTATGTATGCAGGGTCCGTCCCTTCAGGGACAGAGTGTGCATTCCATTCCAGATATGGGGAGATCTCCATGTGTGTATGGGGAGGTGGGATGTTGAATAGAGAGACTCCTGCTCCAGCACCATGTGACCACCAGCCCAGAGCACATGTCAACAGCAGCTTGCTGATTTTTTTTTTCTAGCCCCTGGGAGGCTTTTTATCATATATATATATATATATATATATGATAAAAAGCCTCCCAGGGGCTAGAAGTTACACCCACCCCCCCAACCCCGGGAGTAGCTCATTCCCCTCCTTGCCCCTGACTTCCTCATCCAGTCCGCAGCCTTATGCCTGCTCCCCACCAGCAGGGTGCACTCCCATCTCCGCCCGGGCAGATTGCCACTGACCAGGGCACCAGAAGGCAAATAGTGCCTTGGAAATAGTGCACATCCAGCCCCAGGAGGATGGGCTACAAGTAGAGAAGCTTATGCCAATGGGGAGAAAAATAAATAATTGGGAGATATTAATTTTGTCCTAATTTAAATGAGAAAATTAAAACCTTAAAAAAAGTTGAAATCTTACCCTTTTCAGTTAAGTCTGGCCCTCTCCCTCTGTCCCTGGTCCGCTCATTCCTCGATTCAGTTCGGGTTTCATTCCTAATGTCGGTGCGGGAGCTTTCATCTCTGCCATGGCTTCGGCTATAGTTGCGTTCTTCGTATTGCTCGTCTTTCCGATGAGACTCTCTACTTTCTCTATAGTCATGAGCATCTCGCCCAGAACGCGTCTCTCTGAGATCTCGTGAATCTTTGTTGTCCCTGTAATCTCGAGTGTCTCTGTTATCACGAAGCTCACGAGATTCCCTGTGCTCTCTACGTTCATTGTTGTCTCTAGCATCTTTGCGGTCTCGACCCTCTCTGGGATCACGGGTTTCCCGGTGTTCCCTCACATCTCTTTCTTGTGCAGTATTCTGGTCCAGATCATAATCCCGTTGCTCTCGACTATCCTTGGTCTCTTTGTCTCTTTCCCGTTTTCCTCTGCTGTCTAAAATAAAATGCTGTATTAGTGTTGGAATAAAATGAGCTCTATCAGCTACAAAAATCATATAAAATAAAACATCCAGGTCAGTTTACAAACAACTCTAATCTGGATGGCTGAGATAATCAGAATTCTTTTTTTAACATGACAAAATTGTAAGAAAGAATATTTTAAAAATATACAATTCATAAGGAATTTCATAAAATTAAGGACTACAACAAGATTCCATTTATAGAGCGCCTTTCACGTCGGGAGGACGTCCCAAGGCGCTGTACAGTTGGGTCAGGACCCGAGCAAGAGGGAAATGGTCAGGGTGAGGGGAGGGAAGGGAGGGAGCGAGGAGGGGGTAGAGAGTCGAGAGGGGAGCTGAAGGCACGGTCAAAGAGAAGAAGAGACTAGTACAGTAAATGGATAAAATCCATAAGATCATGAGACAAATGATTCATCAAACATGGATTCTATTTATTGCTGGTTAAACAGAATCACTATGACTATGTTGATACACTAATGTATTTAAATCTACATTACTGAAAGAATAAGAACATTTATATTGGGTTGAAAGACCTACTTTTAGGTTTGTTTATCCAACAAAAAAAAGTAAAACCCAACATATAAAAACGTCTTAATTTGTAACTCTTGTGATCTTATAGAATGCTCTCGGCATCAATGCACACATGCATCGATGTTAGATGGGGTCATTGACCTTGGTTGTGATACCCCTTTATGGTTGAACCGAGTACTTAATGTCCAGTCTTGCACATAAGCAATCACAACTGAGTGAGGTAGTTGATCGCATGAGAACATACTGCAGCCTAAGCTGAGCCCTTTCAGGAGAAAATGGAACAAAGTTGCAGAAACAATTTAAAAAATGTAAATAATTGCATGTATGCACTTGCGGCCCACTCTATGTGGCAGCGTTGGGCAGCCATCAGTAAATATCCTCTTTTAAATAGGAAGATAGCTAAGATCATGTCACAATTGTAAATAGCTTCCATGAACCAATCCTAATTTAACGTTGAAGCAAAGTGGATCTATTCTCACTAAGTGTACTGAAATGTGTTACAAAGTGTGTTTGAACTCTGCTCAATCATCCTCAAGCTGTGCATTTTTACCTTCTTTCCTCTGGTGGCGCTCTTGCACTGGAGTTTTTTCAAGTTCATGTTTGCTCTTTTCTCTGCCAGAAGACCTGCGCCTCACTGGGCTCTGCTTTCTCTGAGGAGATAAACGTGCATTGTATGGCGAAGGGGAACGTCTTCGAGGAGATGCTGTACGTTGGTAAGATGGTGAAGTGGATCTTTTGTGACGTGGTGAAGGTGATCGTCTCAATCCAGGTGATCCTGACCGAGAGGAAGGAGAGTGTGGTCTAGATACTGTGGGAGTTTGATGTTGTCTCTGGGAAGAGGGCGACCTGCTGGACAGGTAACATATTAGTAAAACAGCACGCAAACAGTCATTACAATCTTCAAATAATTTATTATTAAGATTTTGCAAACAAAAAAATTCAAGTGTTTGAAATAGTGATATTTTGAAAAGATTTGACCATCGAGGATTCCACACCAGTGATCACTTCTTGGTGCCACAAAGGGCAATAGTGAAAAATGCAGGCTTGTCTACTATAGTTCCAAGGAACATGACTAGCTCCACAATGAACAGGAAGATTTATTCTGCTACCTCCATCTTCCACATTCCCAATGCCAGTACAAATCCACCCATATTAACCAGCAAATCACCTCCCTCTACTCTACACCAACTTCCACAACATAGAAAGAACCAAACATATTACCTGTACAGTATCCCCATTTCTAGCTCTTCTAGCTTCATCATTCTTTCTATACCTAAATCTACCTGGCCTGTTGCCAATAAAGCAAGAAGATTCTGCCCTCATCCCCGAAGGCAGTAGCATTTTCTTCCAGCAAAGTGAAGTTCCTGTAGAAATAGCACAGATTGATAAATCTGGTACAAATATTCAGGCAAAGCACCTGTAGGACATTGGTGCAAATAATGAATGATTGCATATGCAGCTGGAGAAACACAAGCTCGTTCCTTGTTCGGAGACTCCACCACACTCAATCCTCTGATTCCCCAGGACTGTGAGCGAGCCTGTGATCATCACTGAACAAGAAGGCCCAACCACCTCGCCCATTATCCAAACAACGGCTGGAATGACATGAAACTAAACCTCACCCACAACTACTGCCAAGCAATTATTTGATCTGTCCTGAGCCTCTTCTGGCTTGGTTTGGTTGTGATCATTCTAAGTGCAAAATGTACTGTTCTACTCAAATACAAAGAACTGTGTATGATCCAATGTACAATTCTAAATGCCTCGAAATCTATGATGTTTCAGGCCACAATAAAGTGAGTACATTTTGCAGAATTCAATTTAACAAGATTTGGAAAGTTATACACAACTTACATTTATTTAGCGCAATTCATATGTCTCAAAGCAGTTCACATGGCTGTCTGGCCACCCATCCGAGATGGAGTTCCAGAGAAAGGGGCAGAAGTAAGCAGGGCCCATAATGATATGAAAATCAGACTGCTGTTGTGAATCTTATAGCAGTTAGCCAAGAGTTAATCATCCTGCCAGCTCTACCACAGAGCCATAATATTCATGCAGAACTTGCAAGGAAGAAATATCAAATAAAATGGGGGTGGGGGGGTGAGGGGAGGGATAGGATGCATCTGCTTCATTTGAGGGAAGTGTGCAACTCGAGGGGAAAAAAAATCCTCTATTCTATTGAAGTGTAGCACCAGTTCGACTTTTGCTATTCCAGATGACTTCAATATGAAATCATCTGGAGGAGATTACTTCTGATAACAAATGAGGAGCACCAAAATCCCTGCTCCTACAGTCCAACTGTAATTACCATTTGCTTTGGCTGTGGAATTCAGGCTAACCAAAACAGTAAAACACGAAGGACTACCAGAACGCAACTTTAACTTCCAATTTACCAAAATCGCATTAAAGTATATACCTAAATATACACATACACCACAAACAGGAAATTCCTTATGTCACCAAGTATGACGACTTTTGACTATGTGTACTAACAATGGGAAAATCCTATAAGTATGTACTGGCAAGTCACTATACTTTGTGGAAAGATTAATTTCATCCCTCATTCATAGACTTTAGTCTGTAAGCAGCTATTCAATCACTGACTAGTGGAAAGACAAATATAAATCGTACTCTTTTTAATATATTTGTTGAGGGGTTTAAAAAGATATTTCCCTGCGGACATTTAGTCACTTTTGTTTGAGGTTTCTATACCTGTGACATGGTGAGAAAGAATGCTTCCGAGAAGAGGAAGATGAGGTTGATTTAGGTAGAGCTGGAGAGGCTGATTTTCTCCTTGCTGCTGGTGGGGAATATTCCCTAGAATGGGAGGAGATGCTACCAGATTGTTCCGCGGGGCTTAATGATCTCTTCTGCTTACGTAGGTTATCAGAGTGATCCCTGTAGGTTGAACCACAAGACAGATGTGTAAACTTCCATGATCGATATTTTTTTCACTATCAACAAAATTTGGCAGAAATGTTGCATTTTTGCAAAAAAAAAAGTGTAAAATAATTTATAAGTCTGTGCTCTAAATGGGACAGAGTCAAAACAAGATTTTCATTTCTGTATTGGTTTCATTGCTGAATTTTCTGGTGAGTAGTATATTCTTCCACATGACTACAATGAAGTATAGTGAGTCCAAGTAAATATATTAATTAATTTGATGTTGAATGGATGGACTAATTGAAAGTATTTCCTGTTTTAGGACCCGGTAAAAGCACCTTAGTTCCTCTACTTTAATTCTAATATAGTATGTGTCTCAGATTAATCTAATAGGGGTGGGGGATGATAGTAGCAACTTAATCCACACCATTGTGTCATTTATATTTGGCATACTAACTTTATGGCTCTATTTGAAACTTGCCCTTGAAACTGGATCGCAAATTTCTTGAACATTTCAGAAAAAGGAGACTTGCCATTTCATCTCTCAATATCATTTAAATACAGACCAGAGGCAAAACGTTAGTATCCTGAAATATCTCAAGACCAACTCAGATCAACCAGGTGATTAGAAATCTGCAGTATAACATTGCACTGATGTACACTTTTTGCTAGGAATTTATAGTAGGATTTCCTCTTATAAAGTTGAACTGAAAATATTGCTATTTTTATGTAACCAGTGCAAGTCAACCTAGTATCTTAGCATACATTGCAGCATGTTCAGTTGAAGATAAAACTAGCTTCAAAATGCAATGCTAAGTCAAATGGATTCATGTTTTCAGAAGCTTTGAGCTTAAAAAACTGACAAAACTTGCCAAGAATGTATACAACTTATAAATCTTCACAAACCATTGAAAATGTAAGAGGTATTCAGTCACTTGAATTTCAATGCACATAGCATTACTAGCTCAAATCTGGAGCTAAATTGTAATTAGGACCATTAATATAATTTCACAATTATGTAAATCCTTTCAAAATATATTGCTTTGTTAATCTCTTATAGGTTAAATATGACTAATATAACTTAGTTCCAGAAGCTCAAAAAACAGCACCAAATCACAGCCTTGTTGACTTTTACATCACTTCCAGACTTCCAACTTGCAGTACAATGTTTCATATATATGCACCAATATCTAATGTTATCCCATAACAATCAGCACTTATATAACGCCTTTCATGACTTCTTTCATGACATCAAGAAATTTGTACATACTCAAAACGTCACTTTAAAAAAAAATGCAATTGCTGTTTCTGAAATAACAGTGGCAGACGCAAGGAAGTGCACTTGAATTAAAATATGACTGCTCTAATTCTATTCTCTGTTCTACTATTGCGGTGGTCATGATCTCAAATATAAATTTCCAATGATTCTGACTTATGCCAACATCTGAAGTCATTTCACTACTTGTGCAATGATGGCATGTTCGCACATACACAAAACATCATTGGGTCCAATCACTCTGCTGTCGAGCCTTTTCATGAGCATGCTTCTGGCAGGAAACTTGTAATGTAAAAGCAGCATAAGCAACGCACTTTGACACAAGAGTTAATATAACAGCTCTCCGACCAAATTCTGTTAAGCCATTATCCATCTTATCTTTGAATAGATAAGAACAAATTGCATTTATTCCTTCATGTCCGGAGGATGTCCCAAGGCACTGGACATTCAAGGGTTTGCACCTGAGAAGGGGATTGGAATCAAGAGGGGTGGAGGGGAAGTGGGGGTGGGGCTGACCAAAGGGTGAGTGAGGGCAGTTAAAACACAAATAAATGTTTCAAGCAAAAGGTGGTGTCTACAAAATTACAAAGCAGCCACTCACCTATGTTTTTCTTTTTTCTCTTTATGCCTTTCTACGTCTCTTCCTCTTTCTCTACTCTCTCTTGGTTTTTCTTCAGTTCGTTCTTTTGTCCTCTGCTTTTCCTTGTGCTTTTTAGCTACTGAAATCTCTTCATGAAGAGGCGGTGGTGGGCTTGGAGTACGCGGCCCTTTCTTTTTACTCTGAACCACTTTAGAAGATCTCCTGGGAAAGAAGATAATCCACATGGTTTACATCAAAACTACCTACTTAATTACATTAACAGCTCATCTAACTCTTGGCTTCAATACTAGTACCTAACAGACAAAATCAGCACTTCAGTAAATCAATATACCAGGGTGAAAATACATGTAAATATTTTACAGTGGGCTTTCATTTTTCAAAATTCAGAACAGATCTTATATTTACTTTTAGTCTTGCACTTATCATTTTGTTCATCATCACTTTATACTACAGTATAATGTTCAGCTTTTGAAGTCGTCAGAAAGGAAACTGGTAGCCTCAATTCCTTCATATATAGCCACAAAGTAACATGCCATTTCACAGAACATGACTGTTTGTAAGGTATACGATTACATTGCTGAAATCTACAATAATACTTGGTATTTGGTATAGTGGCTATAACATCAAAACATGTGAAATGTTTCACAGCTTTCAGTGGAGTGAAGTGACTATTTCTAAGCAAACTTGGCAGCAACCTTTGCATAAACAGCTATGAAGTGAATGACCTATTTTGGAGGAATGTTGGTTAGGACAGTGAAACTGCCTTCACTTTTTGAATAGTGTCACTGAATGTCCCTGAATAGACAGGTGGAATCTTGGTTTAACATCTCATCTGTAGTGTAGAAATCCCCCCAGCACTGTATTGCAGTGTCAGCCAAGTGAAACTATAAATTCAAAATCCTGAAGTGGAGCTTAAATCGACAACCATCTGACCCAGAGGCAAGCATGGTACCGAACCATGCTGATACCTTGCCAATAAATCTAGATTTTGATGAAAAAATGGTAATACATGTAGCCTTGCAGTCAAATGATAGTACAGCAAAGTTCACACATCCTGTGACTACAAATTAGGAAGATTTAAAAAAATAATTACACTAACCTCTGTTGTTCTCCTATTGGAGATGACAATCTTAATCCTTTTTTGTCCTTCTTACCAGAGGAAGACACTTTTGGGCTTGTTTTATGCTTGGGAGATCTGCTTGGCTTTCTTGGAGATGGAGAGCGTTTACTTCTTACAGGCTCTGGAGAAATCTATGAAACACAGAACCAAAGGGATTTGCTCAAATTGATCTCTTTTCCAATTCCCATACACTATCCAACCTTTGAATTGAAGCTTTGTTCTATCCCGTCCAATTCTACTCAGTACTTGAATCAAGATCAGTCATAATCATTAAAATTCTTTCTTCATATACTTTGTATTAGAGCTACATTCACCCGAATAATCAATAACGCAGATGGTTTTAAAAAATTCCCTAAACTTTATATCACACAATCCCAAGAGGTGCAGATAAAGACCATTTATCCCATTTTAATCTCGTCATTCAGGAATACCAACCCAGCATCCAACCATTTGTTTAATGAATCTGTTTCCTTGGCTTCTACACTTCCTGATAACCCATTCCAACTGTTGACTACCCTTTGTATTTAGATATGCAGTACTCCCTAGTAACCATCCTAAAATTGCCTTTCATAATCTTGAACCTGTGCCTTGTTGTTCTGCTGTCTTGGCATATTTAAAAATATTGTTCTGGATTACTTTCTTAATCCTATTTAGTATCTTATTTATTTAGTATCTCCATAAGGTTCAAAATTGTTCCCACTAAAAATAAGACAGTGGGAGTTCGGAGAAAAGAACAAATGTTAGTGAAACAGTTCAAAATAGAACCTCTAATCAAAATAGAATATAGGAAGTAGAGAAGTGAAAAGGGACATAAGAGGGGCGAAGAGATTGTACGAGAAAAGATTAGCAGGAAACATAAAAGGGACCCTAAGGTATTTTATAAGCATATCAAAAGTAAAAGGTTAGTCAAAGGTAGGGTGGGTCTAATTAGGGACCCAAGTGGAAATCTTCTTGTTGAGGCAGAGGGTATGGCTGATGTACTAAATAAGTACTTTGCAACTGTCTTCACAAAAGAAAACGATGCAACCAATGCCACAATATCGCAGGTGTGTGTGTGTGAACAGAAATTGGATATGATAAAAATCAACGGAGAGGAGGTACTAAAAAGGCTGTCAGTCTTCAACATAGATAAGTCACCTGGTCCGGATAGGGTCCATCCTAGGTTACTGAGGGAAGCAAGGGTGGAAATAGCGGAGGCTCTGGCCACAATCTTTCAATTCTCTTTGGACACTGGAGTGATGCCAGAGAACTGGAAGTTTGCAAATGTTACTCCCCTGTACAAAAAGGGGCAGAAGGATAAACCTGAGAACTACAGGGCAATCAGCCTAACACCAGTAGTAGGGAGACTTCTGGAGACTATAATCCGGGACAATATAAATTCTCACTTAGGAAAATATGGTTTAATAAAGGTCAACACGGATTTGTTAAAGGCAGATCGTGTCTGACAAACCTAATAGAATTTTTTGATGAAGTGACTGAGAGGGTGGATGAAGGTAGTGCAGTAGACATAGTTTATCTAGATTTTCAAAAGGCATTTGACAAAGTGCCACATAAGAGACTTATAAACAAAACAGAAGCCCAAGGTATTAAAGGGACTGTGGCAACATGGATCCAGAACTGGTTAGGAGACAGAGAGAGTGGTAGTAAATGGTTGCTTTTCTGACTGGAGGGAGGTGTGTAGTGGTGTCCCTCAGGGGTCGGTATTGGGACCACTGCTCTTTCTGATCTATATTAATGATCTGGACCTGAATATAAGGGAGCACAATTTCCAAATTTGCAAACGATACTAAGCTAGGAAAAGTAGTTACTGGTGAGGAGGATAGAACTCCAAGAGGACTTAGACAGATTGGTAAAATGGGCAGAAACATGGCAGATGAGGTTTAATATGGAGAAATGTGAAGTGTTGCATTTTGGTAGGAAGAATGAGGAGAGACAGTATAAGCTATATGGTACAATCTTAAAGGGGGCAAATGAACAGAGAGACCTGGGGATCCACACAAGCAAATCTCTGAAGGTGGCAGGACTGGTAGATAAAGCTGTTAAAAAAGCATATGGGATACTAGGTTTTATAAATAGGGGCATAGAATTCAAAAGCCAGGAGGTTATGTTGAATATTTATAAAATGCTGGTTAGGCCTCAGTTGGAGGACTGTGTTCAGTTCTGGGTACCACACTTTAGGAAAGATGTTAGGGCATTGGAGAGGGTGAAAAGCAGGTTTACCAGGATGGTACCAGAAATGAAGGACCTTAGTTATGAGGAGAGGTTAGCGAAACTAGGATTACTCTCCCCATAGAACAGAGAAAATTAAGAGGGGATTTAATAGAGGTTTTCAAGATCATGAGAGGATTTGATAGGTTGAACTGGGACAAACTGTTTCTACTGGCATGTGGGTCAGTAACCCAAGACACTGATTGAAGATAGTTGTTAAAAGAAACAAAGGGGAGGCTAGGAATTTTTTTTTCCCCCCGCGAGTTGTTCAGATCTGGAATGCATTACCTGTGGAAGCCGATTGAATAACAACTTTTAAGAGAGAAGTAGGTGGTTATTTGGGGAGGACCGAATTGCAGGGCTATGGAGAGAAAGGGGGCCAGTGGGATTGAGTTGGATTCCTCTTTTAGGAGCTGGCGCAGACATGATGGGCCGAATGGCCTCTTTCTATGCTATATGATTCTATAATTCTATGAAATATATTTAAGGTTGAAATGGCGTTAGAAAAGAAAGGGCAAGGTTAACTTACAAAGAAACAAATTGTAAATAGAATTAAATCTCAACTCAAATGTGTTTAGTTTCTGCTCATAGATAATGGACTGTTTTTGTCAAGTATTAGCATTTAGCAAAGCTGCAAGGTTTCCCTGGACACACATACATATAGAGGGTTATACATATACCTCCTTCTTAATGACTATTTCCTCTCTTTTTTCCATATTTTCCTGTTCAAGTTTCATTAATTCCCTCTGTATTTTCTGCCGCTTCATTTCAAGGGACAATTCATGATCATAATCATAGTTTACATCTCCATTATCAGAGTCTGTTAAAACACAATGGGAAAGATTGAACAAAAAAAATCACACATATTTGTATAAATAGTATATTTTACTCATATATACTTGAAGAAATAGCTTCTTAAAAATAAAATCTCCATTTAGTCTTGGGGTATTGAGTGTTCTTACTTTTAAGGGATAGGTGTATTCAATTATTTGTTTAAAAAAAGCTTTAACTGTTGATTAAATGCATCAGTCAGTCACAAATATTACAACTGAATATGAAAAATAGCATTATTTTGAATGTTCATTTTTTTGTTAAAAAAATCTAGGGGAACCAGGAGGAGAAGGGAATAGAGTGAACAATATGACACAAAAAAAACTGAGATGACTGGAAGGTTTTAATTTTATCAAATGGTACTAAGTAAGACATTAGTGACTCAAAATTGCTCTTGATCTTTGTCTTTAAAGCATTGCCTAAAAATTTTGGAAAGTTCTGAACAATGTTAAATTGTGGATCAATAGGCTTAAGGCTAAAATGTGAGAAATTTTGAATCTTGATCAGATTTTAGTTGTGATATCGACAGTCGAATAAGCTTGCTGACAATCACTGCCAGACCAAGAACATAAAGTCAGGTTTAAAAAAACACACACATAACTGCTGCATGACGTTTAACTGTTCTTACCTGAATTTGGCCTTTTCCTTTGGCTGTTAAGACAGGCTGGAGAAAATAGAGAAAAATATTTCAAAATTCAGCACATTGGACACATGGACAATGCAATATTTACTCATATACCCACACATCCCACCCATACGCCACACTTTTTAACATTTTAAAATTGAATTAATGCTGAAAATCTCAAAATCATATTCCACAAGCAGTTAAAATCTATTTGTCAAAAGTGTCAAGGTTTTAAACAGCCAGAAGATAATAATTCTTGCATTTGATATAGCCCTTATCACCTCTTTGAGACATCTCAAAGAGCTTTGCAGAATATACTGTGAAGTGAATTGATTGTATATTTTGTGGATGAAACACGGCAGCCAAATGCGCACAACAGTGCTCGCAAAGAGTTGTAGATTGAATGACCAAATTATCATGATTTTTTTTTGAAGGGATTATTACCCCGGAAAAGTACTCTGCCAATCGACTAACAACTGGGTTACTACTTACTGCAAGGTAAACAAAGGCGTGTGTAGTATGGAAACTTGTCCAATCTTCCGCCCTGCCCAGGAATCAAACCCAGGTCCTCTCGCTTGCGAGGTGAGTGCTGTAATCACTGAGCTACAGTACTCCACACATTTAGTAGATTTCAGGTGAGAGCAATTAAAAACTACTAATAGAAAGAAGTGGAACAGTAGTCAGGTAGACCAAATTTTTTTACTTTGATGAGAGCTCCTCCCCAATAGTAGATGCACACTGTATTTTTGATGAAGGATGAAGATACATATACTTAAAGCAACAGTTTTTTTTAAAGATTTCTTTACTGTCTGAAAAGATTGGATCCTTTATGGGTGATCCGTATTTTTTATTCTAATATGGGAGAGACTATGAAATACTAAATTCACACTTTGATATAGAATCAGAGTCCAGTTTACCATCCCTGCCGGCTTCCCATTCGACTGGCTCTTCTTCACTTTCTGGGGTGCGCTCCTTTGTAATTTTCAGATTAGGATCTTTTTCTCGATGCCTGCTTCTTGAAGTATCCCTCTATAAATAGAATAATAATTTTCTCCCACTATACAATGAAAACAAATACATTCAGCACAAGTTTATTTGTCCATTTTCTTACTCATAATTTAAGCTCTTACATATAAACTGGTATAGGGGAGCCCAAACAATATATAACTAGATCGAAGTATTAAATTCCAGAACAATGATCCTTCCTTTGTACAAGATTCCTAAACCAAGGTTAAAATACAAATTAATAATTAGGTTATCATTAATCAACTCGATTTCAAATATTTTAGTATCTGGAACCAATAACTACTATAAACGATCATGCTTATGCTCTTATGCAAGTTAATCCAAGGTTCCTGTAAAACAAATTATAATTTTTATTGTTATATATGAACTATTAAAGTCTATAAAATGGAGACTGTAAATTTGAAAAGTCCCAACTGGCCTTCACTTTTTATAAGTTTATTGATATACATACACCCAAGTGTTTGAATTCGCAGCTGAAAACATCCACTTAGCTCTCAGGGAATCAGTAATCCATTGGACTTGAAATCAAAATTTACTGGAGAAACCTGGCTCCATAACCCAGCACTTTAAAATAAAAAGGGCAACTTTTCAACAGAATTTTTTCTGCAACAGAACTCATCTCACCCTCGCTGGAGATGAAGACTCGTCCTGAGTTCTTTTCTGTGGCTCAGTTTCCACATCTTGTCGTTTGTTCTTCATTCTCTCACGTAGATCACCAGTTGGCCTTTCTGGAGATCTATACAACCATAAAATAAGAAACATGACATAATTTTCATTGTAGCCACAAAGAAAAAAATGTTTTTATATCCATAAATCTTTTCTTCAAATTTCTTATCCGCCAAAAAAAAATCACAAAAGAGATTTCTGGGTGAACATTGCATTATTGATATTTCGCCTACAAAATATACAGTCAACTCACTTTACAGTATATTCGGTGAAGCGCTTTGAGATATCTTGCAGATATGATAAGGCACTAGATCAAATGCAAGGATTTATTATTTATTATAGAAGGAATATGTGGATAAGAACGGATATTAATGGCAATGAGGAATATAAAAAAGTAGGAAAATTTGCTTAACAAATCTGTTGCGATTTAGTAAAATAGTAGAAAAGGCTTGGTCGGCTGAATAGCCTACTTGTGTTCCTAGATTCCTAAAATAAAACTCAACTTAAATTATTTTGAGCATTTTGTTCTGAATCCACCACTGATGAAAACTACAACCCTCAAAAATGGTGCACCAAAATAAAACCAAATGGCAAAAGTTTAGAACCATATTTGCATTGAGTGGATGTTTATTCAATAACAGTTCTGCAGCATCTACAATAAAAGTAAAGTTTTTAAAAACAAGTAGCAGTGTAGCTAAAAGGATAATGATATAGAGTATTCAACTAAGCTTATTTACCTTCCCTCAAAACTTAAGCTTCTGATATTGCTGAATGGAGAATGCTCGTATTCAAACTGGTATCAGCACTCAATCTAACTGTGATGCTAGTCTTGCATGACAAGTAGCTTTGGATTGAAACTCACAACCAGCCCCGAAACTCACACATAGTGTCCGGATGTGAAACATTTTCCGAAGTCAATACATGAAGGTTAAACTACTCCACTTATGACAGCATTGTCCTTTTTCTTAAGACGAACATTTACTGATTTTACATTTTAATATATTTTTAAGGTTCACAGCAGATACATGGTGAGTCAATGTGAAGAATGCAGTGATGAAAGGAGGTTTAGTTATCGGTTGCCCTCAAAGACAGAAGAAAACATGCTTCTTTCAGGATTTAGGATTCAAAGGCTTAGCATCAAACATCCTACACACTAGCTGGCCAGAGACTAAACTGCTTCATTATGTCATAAAATATATTGTGAAGTCACAGCAACATCACTGTGACGACACAAAATGAATCAAACTTTTGGGCGGTTTTACATAAAATTAACACTGCGATTTTCTCTTTAGTCGTAAAAAAACAGATGCAGGACTGTAGCAAGTTGGTACAGCAAAATATTACACAATAAGTTCACATCCATTGTTCCCTATTCAACAAAATTAGTTGTGGGCCTAGTTGTACTTTCACTGTAAGAGCTGAGTGGAGGTGTAGGTTCTTTCCCAGTGCAAGAAATAATGGGCTGGGGAGGGGGGCAGCGCATTACCATAACCTTTTAGGACTGTTTCAAGAGCTTTACTAGGTGGCATCCTGGAGCAGATCACCTGCAACCAGCCTCATCAGTGAGGTAATCTTAATGTGGAGTAAAGGAAGTTTAACATTACTGAAAATAATGAACTGTGCAAACTATGAAAATTGATAAGAAAATGTTGCTGTATTAAAAAGCTTGGGGTAGAAATATGATGAGTTTAAAAAATATTTATCTAGTGAGAATAATCACAACTTTCAACTACACATTACTTTTTAATGCATCTTGATCCTCAGTGGGAAGAATATTGGTGGGGTATTGCTGGCTCAGTTCAGCTGCCAAATTTGCCACAACATCAACATTTTATATTGCTTACAATTTTATAATCGATTCCAGATCAACAAATTATTTTATTCAGTACTAATGTTAGGTTCTGTCTATCTTGCGATTCAGATAGATTTAAAGGGATCACTTTGCCATTGCTATTTCAAAGAATTTATATTCCACATTTCTAATTCAAATTAATTGACTACTTGTCTCATTGGGGATTTGGCAGATGCATATTAATTACCATGTTTGCCAATATAACAACATTCACTTAAATTTTTATCTGTTATATCTTGTAAAACACTCTGGAACTTTTTTTTATGTGAAAGGTGTTATATAGTGCAAACTGTTGTTGGTGGTGTCCTGCATTGACTTGACACTTCATTCAATTTCCCCAATATAAAACTTAGAGGACATATCCTTCAAGTGGATCATCCTTCGTTTGCTTTACGTACAAGTCAGGTGGGATTTTTAAAAAAATACCTTTTTGTTTATACATCCTAGACTATATCCAGCCAAGGAAAATCTGCATTATGTACCCCATTTTCCCTAACTTCCACCAGGGTAAAAATAATAAAATAATCCTTGCATTTGATATAGCGCCTATCGCTTCTTCGAGATGTTCTCAGAGCGCTTCATTGAATATACTGTAAAGTGAACTGACTTTATTTTGTGGGTGAAACGTGGCAGCCAATTGCGTACAGCAGTGCCTTGTGACAAACAGTTCATGGATTGAGTGACCCAATTTTTTTCAGGTATTGACCTGCACTTAGCACTCCTTTTGAAGACTGATCAAGAAAAGGAACTTCTATTTTACCAGATTTGTACAACTTAATTTCATTTTTCTTTCCTCATTTACATTCATTTCCTCTGATTTCTTTAGTTTTCCCACTTGTCTTTTTAAAACAAATTCTAAAGGCATTTTGTTTTAAAATAAGCATCAAATCCCTATCTATTATCCTTTCATCTGTCTTTCCTTTTGCTCAAAAATATGTACAGAGTCATAGTGCATAAAACTGTTTACTGAACGATTAAAGTTTTCATCATTCTCTGTTTAAACAGGTGTGAGTCCACCATTACGAATGTAGGAAGATGTTGTAAGATCAGTAGGTCATCGGGAAAAGGAGAAACCCTCTATGGTCACCTTTATCTTTTACACATTAACATGTACAGTAATTGGTCCAAGTCTGAAAAGTTGTAGGAAGGCGTTTTTCTTGTTATCTGAGACCCTGTTTACTTTTGCAAATTTTTAAATAACGAAACTGGCAAAATCAGTAGATAATATGTATCATCTGGATTGGGATATATTAGTGATAAATGAAAGCTGTTTCAATAACTAATAATGGTTATTAATATAATTGCATTGTTTTATTTGTATTCAATAATCAAACTGTTGATGGTGATATAATAGGAAGGATACAAGTAAATAATTGTTGATCTGAACAAACACGTTCCAGGTCACATGTCTTTGAAAGCCAAATCTACTCTATTTATAGTAAAACAGTATATCCTGTATAGGATTTTGAGAAGTTATCCCAACATAAAAAGCGCTATATCAAATGCAAGGATTATAATGACTATATGGAACGACACTAAATTTCATCTACCAAGGGAAACGATTGTCATACCAAGTTTCCTACATTACAACAATACTCTGATAGGTTTTGCTTAAAGTTGGTGATCTCAAGTTATCATGACATTTAAAAAAATGCAAGAAAAATCTATTAAAAAAAATTCAGAAATTATTAAAAAGTTTTAAAAACCCAAATTCTTTACCTTCTGTACGTGCTGCTGTATCCTTTACCTCTAGGTGAGGTCCCATGTGTGAACCTACAAGTGTTTCCATAAGGACAGTGTCCAGTTTTCAGCCAATTACGGCATTGTGTCTGGATAAAAATACAAGGAATTTGTAAGCATAAAATATATTTTTTTAAAAAAATAATATGCTCAATAAAACAAAATGAAGGACTATCCAGTCTTCTAAAGAAACAATTTGAAAGGGGTGATGGTGGACATGTTTATTTTCACACAAAACTGAGTAGTTAGTGTTGATAACAGCTAGTGTTGATAATCAAATAATTAGCCCATTCATTTTCACTTCAAAGTTTTCTTGATCATTATTTACAAAATGATAAATTGTTGCACCATTTGATGCATTTTTTTTCATATAATGTCATGAAATTCACAAAAAAACAAATCAATGTTGTGAGGAAGCTAGTGGTCATAAGGTGACTGTTCGGTAATTCTGGACTAAGGTTATTAAGGCAAAGTAATTAAGGTTTTTTTAAATTATAAATCACAAGTCAATTTCTGATAGGGAATATAAACTTATAATTTGAGATATTACAAACTATGACTGCATATAAATGCATACAAAAGGGATTATACTTGGAAACTCAAAACAATCATTACAGTAGAAACTTTCCTCCCTACTTTCCAATTAATCAACAAGGCTTCTCTGGTTTAATACAATGCACAGCAAGTTCAGCAAACCCCAATGTCACACAATTAAACATTGGCTACTTTCAATGACCAAAGCAAAATGGCACTGTATTATTTAAATCCAAAATTGCTACCTCATGGGTGATAAAATTTGAAAGTTTAAAAACTGACTGCTGTTGCCACTCTGACATTATTTAAAAAGGATGTTTTGATCATCTGGTATATGAAGTATAATTATCCATTCCAGACTAAGAGATTGTTATAAAGGATTAGGAAGTTATAAAGCCACTTTTTCTTTCAGTCGACTGGAGTGAACCATTCACATAGAATTTTGAAAACTACTTTGTCACTGGGCCTCTCTTTCTAATTGTAAGATTTATTTTGTTGTTTGAAACGAAAAATGTTGTTGCAACTTGAACTTCTTCACATGAAAAAGGTTATGGATACAAATTTGTAAAAATATGGAAGGTCTATTCCTGAATTGGAATTGCTCAAAATACGACTGCAATCCACTTACATTGAATCTCCTAAATACCAGAAAACAAAGTGAAAATGGTTGTATCCAGTTACTTTATGCAGCACAGCAATAATGAAAGAGCTTATGAGTTACTATGCTACAGAAGATAAATGGATCACGATCCCAACCTTTTCATTTTGTTTCCTAGTATTTTGGAAGGTTGACTGAAAGTGCATTGTATTCTTATGTCTACTTATCCATTTTTCGGTTGCACAAGAGTATCTTATTGAGCTCATTTCAAAATCCTAGGTGAATGAGGTACAGTTTCTGGTTCTCAACCTCACAAAAACTGGTGATACTGTTTTTCGATTAGCTGACTAGAAATATACTAGTAGAAGGCAAGTACAATCTTTTTAAAGAAATTGGCAACTAATTAACTGTGTATACCAGTAACGGAAAGCTTTGAGAGAAAACAGACATCTACAAGGTAATAAGTGGTTTAAACCAGAGACAGATACTTGACCTTGCTGTTGGCCAACAAGGTCTAAACTAATTCAAAATAGGCCAAATAAACGTCATCCTCACAGTGCCTTTGACATATCACAGGTGTATAGTAGAACACCTTTTTATCCACCAAAGAAGAGCTTTAAAAGAGCAAAAGTCATCCAGTTCTGTGCCTCTATCACAAGGTTTGGTTCCAAAAAGGGATGGACGTTGACACGTTTGGGGAATGTGTGTTCAATAGACATTTGAATATGTGTTGACCTTTACTGACCTCCTACAATGCTATTCAACAGATAGTATGAACACTGCATTATCATAATTATCTGAACTGTACTTTCTGTAATTGTTTACGTAAGTTTACAAAAGCAATGATTAGTCCGCATGTAGAATAGAAGTGCTGCTCAAATCTTTGTTTCTTCAGCAATTTTTCGTTAATTGTTAAAATAGGGCAAATTGAATCACAATGATAACATAAACCTCTTTCTCTGTTAAGGAGAAGTGTAGGTTGGACACAGTTCCTAACAAAAAAAAAGCTCTGCTGGCTGCTTCATAATGGTTTACAGGGAAAGACTTTTTAAAAAAGGTAAAAGAATTTTGAAGATGCCCACATACGAGAAAAAATATTGATGAGCTTGTATCAGAAAATCTTATTACACTTAACAGCAAGCTGAATTTCTTCCCCTCGTTCTCCTTGACTGAATATTTGCAATTTAAAATTGTTTTGCCAATTTACAAAACATTTATTATTTCAATCAATTAGCTAAAATCTGAAAAAAAGGGTCACCCATAGTTACTTTTCATCCATTCTTATCCTATGTTATCTTTTCAGTGCCAAATAACACTGCACATTTCGTCAATGTCCAGGTTAGGTAAGATTTACGATGGTGACAAATTTTGCTTTCCCAAGCTACACAACTTAATTCTGAAAATAATAAGCCTCATATATATTTTTTTAAAAATTGATTGGTAGATCATTTGTAGAGGGAGATGGGAACACATGTCATTTACCTAACTATTAGTTTATTATTTTTCAGTGATAAATTGCACTGCTCCTTCACCTGTAAATGATTCTGTATTGAAATATTTCATGCAACATCTACTTGTATTGAGCAATTAAAATAATGAACTTTTAAGCACTCAGGCGTGTTGCTAACCAAACAGAAAACAAATTTTCTTTGTAAGTATCCTTGGTAAATTGTCTTTCTTCAGTAAGTACTGCAGGATTTTTTAAAAAAAAGTCCATCAGACCTCACATCCTCTTAATTTAATTAAAGCAAACCTGCACCTTTTGCTTGCTTTGAATATAAAATGAATTTGATTCAGCTGCATCATCCAGGAAAATTATTTTTTCAAAACTGCTGTCACACTGGAAACTAAGAAGTAAGATTGTCAGGTTTCCAAACTCAGCTTCTCTTTTCATCTGTCATCCTCTATGTTGGTAGGAATTACAACAATTCAACCCACTGAAGCAAGCCACAGAAATCAAGTAATTTTGTTAATATATTTAAATGTACAATATTTCAATCCTAACTTTTCATGTAGATGTGAAAGAATTAAAATATTATGGATTTGAAGATGGCAATAAAACGCATTAGTAACTGATTAAAAAACATATTTCGTGAAAGTTCAGAACTTTTGAAAGTAGACTTCTCAGGGCATCAGATCTGTGTAACATTTTGGACATCTTTGTGGGGAAGAGCATGTCTTACCAACTTGCCAATGACCTAGATCTACGTTCACTCTGTTATACAGTATTCATTGCGGACAAACTAATGCTCTGAACCTGCTGAGAGGTGTTTTTGTGTTACTATATACAATTTTGTTAAAAACAATGTCGGCAATTCATGTAAATCCTTTTAATAACGGAAAATTACAGGACTCATATATATTAGTAAGTTGGATATGTTAATAAAGCTAGTTTTTAATTTAAAGTTAATATGAGACACACTAAATTCAATAGTGATTGCCATACTAACGTAAAGCATGATGGGAGGTCAAAGATCATCTAATTACAAAATCCATGTGGTCTCTTAGTGTGCAGGTTCAATGTAATGTTCAGTTAAGGCATCAACTATGTTTGTGAGGGCAGCTGAAGTCGAATGGAGAATATTTCAGTGGTAGCTGCAGACAAGGCAATATGGCAGAAACAACTAAGGCTGTTAACACACCCTGAAGCATCATTACATTTTCTCCTTGCACAAGTGATATTGGTCTACCAACCTGAAAGTCTAATTTAGCAACCTGGCAGACAATCAGCAAAACAAATCCTAAAATTAATAGACAGGCAGCTGAGACTGGATCATTTGATTAACAAAATTCAGCTCCTCAGAACCTAGCCATGATGTGAACTGATGAGATATTTTACTAATAATACATATGAAGAAATGAACTAACTTTCCAAAATTATTAGTTGGCATATATCCTATCCAAATTTATCCGGGCAATTATTGTACTGATTACTGTGCACATTTTCAATTATTAGGAAGTACTATAAGAATTTTTAAAAACACAATTTCTGAAATGACGTGCTAGTCTGTATACATTTTTGAATAAACTCAAAATATTACATTCATTGAATATAACCCTCAAACTTTCAATGAATTCCACCAGTTATAAATGGAGAATATCATCATTTCCCCTGATAACATTTCATCTTTCTTAAAACATCTCCATCCTCCGAAGTTTATCTAATTGATGAACATCTGTCCATCTATATAATTTAAAAGTTTAGCTATCTATTTTCTAGTTTGTTTCAGCGTCTCCTGAGGGAGATAAGAAATTACCAAGAGATCTGAAAAATTAATGTTAAAGGCTAACTATTAAGTAGTTTGGCAGATCCCTACAGAGCTTGCCAGCAAGAAAAACATTTTGAATTGACTATGATTGAAACAGTGTGTTGATGCTCTGTATCACTGAGTATTGATGTGAGTTAGTGCTCTTCATTACCTATCAGAAAGGCACTGAGGAAAATAGACCCTTCGCCAAAGGGAAAGTGAAATTCAAATGGGACATCCTACAATTCTGGCAATGATCTGGAAATTCCTGCCTTCCATACAATTTGGGACCAAAAAAGGGGGATAAAAGTAATACATTCAAAACGGACAAAAAAATCACAGATCAAAAAATAAAGCGAGGTTAGTTGAACTACATTATTAAATAAAACTGCACTGTTGGTTACATTAAAACATTTATTTTCCTTCATCTAGGGGTATAATGCTTCATGTGTCAGTATGTTTATGACATATGTGCTTTATAATGGGAAACCCCATTAACACAATCAATGTGCACTAAACTTACTGGCACATAACCTCTCCCCCATGCTCTTTTAAGAAAATATTACCAAATAGATGTTAAAATAGAAGCTGTCCCCGTTATATAATACTGACCTCAGCACTTGGCCCTGTGCTAGGCCCAAGCCTTTCAAACACACTGGGTCTACGAGACGTGCTCTCAGAAATGGTCTTTGAATTTTCAACAGTAACCTTCCGCCTCACTTTTGACATTCTGATTCATTGGAAGCTAAAAATAAAAAGACAACCATATGAAAGTGTAGAGGATAAAACCTAGCTGCTTCATGTGCACTTCAAGGCTTGTTTAATCATTAAACAGAAAAATACAAAATATATCTATAAATTAAGCACATTATATAGAAGATGGTCCTACTAAACATAAACATTGTGTTCTAATTTGCATATTCAAAATAAGGTTAAAACAGATATACAGACTTAGTGTCTGGTTCACTGCATTTCTCAAATTCATCATGAGAACAGTTTGCATAGAAGGACTGTGCCATTATTATTGAAAAGGCCTGAAACATTGATCAACAAAATAACACAGAGCTCTGACAATCCAATGACAAATATCACACCATATTTAAACACTATATGCTCATTCTCTCTAACTCAACTCACTGATAAATCGCCCTTCAACAGATATTAGTTTACAATTAAATCAAATATCAAACAAGTTTCTGATCCCAAGCCAACAACCCCAACTTTGACCAAAATTTGCAAGACGAATTATCATCCTCAGCAACAAACTTTTGACAAAAATTTAATTTAGCACAACAGTATTATCTCTCCTAATGAGAGGTAGAAACAACAATATATGCCACTCTGCCTTCCCCCACTCCGCAACTTTGCCTGGCTCCGCCACTGTCTCACACCACAGGCCGCCAAAACCTCATCTACACTTTCATTACATTGAGGTTTGACTATGCAAACTCCCTACTTGTCAGCCTTCCAAACTCCTCTCTCCATAGGCTGCAGATCATCCAGAACTCTACAGCCTGTGTCGTCTCCCGCACTAAGCTCCGTGACCCTATCACCCCCATCCTTGCCCAACTCCACTGGCTTCCCATCACACGGAGGATCCAGTTCAAGATCCTGGTCCTCACCTTTAAAGTTTAGTGCACAGTCTTGCTCCCCCCTACCTCTCCGACTTCCTAACCCCCTACCATCCTGCTCACTCCCTTCGCTCAGTGGGCTACGGCCTGCTTCACGTCCCCTGCCTCGCTCGCCCCACTATTGGCAGGTGGGCCTTCTGCTGCTCTGTCCCTACCCTCTGGAACTCCATCCTGCAGTCCCTTCGCCTCCTTCAACACCTATCTCAAGACCCTCCTCTTCGATCGTGCTTTAGATCACCCTGCTTCCCCCCTTGCCCCCCGCCCGCCCTCCACCCTCCCCAATGATGATCCCCAGCTCAAGTCTGAAACTCTGTCTGTCCAGTGCTTGGGTCATTCTCCCAACGTGAAAGGCGCTATAAAAATGTAATTTGTTTTTGTTGTTTACTCCTCCAGCGACAGCAAACAAAGCAGCAACCAAAGAAATTGATTATGTTCCTTATCTATTTGCTCAACAATGTAAATCATTTAGTGATGGGAAGCTTGTCAAGGAACAATTATTGGATATGGCCATTGCAAACATTGACCCCCATGTCTGTGGATAGTGTCACCAAGAAGCATGTTGATGAGGAAAAGGCGGAGGAGGAAAGCCCAGAGGTACCCACTGCAGGTGCCTGTGCGAGGGCGGGAGGAGAAACTGTTGGAGGAGACAAAATGGAGGTAGTGGGTCAAACAGGAACTGAACCAGGAGAGTGCGGTTCCACAGAGGTGGATGAGGGAGGAGAGGCAATCGTGGACTTTAGCATGGTCGATTATGTCAGAGGTAGCAGAGAGGTCCAAGGGAGGGATCAAGGGTATTTTTTTGAGGAGGGAGTGATGATGGTGATTGTGAAGGGGACGATGGCAAAAAAGAGGGGTAGGTTTACTATATCTGCCATCATGGAGCAGAGGAGGGACAGTTGAATGGTCAGCAGATGGGTGGGGAAGGGGTGAGGGAGCAAGTGATAAGCTTCATTTGGATTACGAGGGCTACAATTGTGCAGCTAAGGGATAACAGTAAAAGACATGCTGGTGCTCAAGCATGTTGCCATGAATACAACATTTCTGTGACATTGCTAGAATCCAAGTTTGATCTAATAATAATAATAATCCTTGCATTTGATATAGTGCCTTATCACGTGTTCTAGATGTCTCAAAGCGCTTCACAGAATATGCTGTAAAGTGAATTGACTGTATATTTGTGGGCGAAACGTGGCAGCCAATTACGTACAACAATGCCCCGCAAACAGTCGTGGATCTAAGTCCGATTTGATGATCTAAGTAGCCTACTAAGGTATAAAATTGGCACATCACAACAAAAGGGTTTATCCATATGACATAAGATGCTTGTACTGTACACACTTTCCTGTGTAAATACAGAACTGTTGTAATCAATTATGATTAATGCACATATTATATGGTAATGGCTCACACAATACAATTCCTTCATGCCTCTGACGTTAACATGAATTAAATTCTGTGTCACATTGTTCAACAAGAATAGAGTACTTTTAATTTCTTCTGTCAGATTTCATAAAGACCACAGGACTTTATAAACCAGGCCATAAAAGAAACATGTAGCATAAGTAATTCAAAATACAAACAAACTGGACAAATTCACCAACGTGACAACTAACTATTGTAATAAAAATGCACTGGCAGGCCATTGCAATCCTCAGCACAATACCGGAAATTTGACTGTATAAAGCAACTGATTTATACAATTCAGACAGCATGTTGTGAAGCATAAAAATAGTAGCGCCTCACACTGTGCTCAAGCATGCTACAATTAATGCAACACTTCTGTGACATTCTTACAACAGCTTTGTTTTGTTACCTAGTTTTGCTTTCATACATTGTTAATGTTATTGTATTTATCGATTCCCAAAACCCAGCAATTTTGCAGTTTTGCATTTTGTTGCTGGGCAAGAGTCACAGATCCTCGTCTGTATGCATCATGTCACATAGCATTCAGTAAATATGTTGTAAAGAACTCTACCTGAGTCACAATCATTACTTTACTACAAGCTTTTTTCATATCTGTCCAAATATGTAATCAATCAATCAATCAATTTCTACATAGAAAATAATAGGTTGAAAAGAAGAAACACTTATCAGAACTCTTGCAGCTTCACACACAAAAACACTGTTGCATCACACCTCAGTCTTTCTCGGTGGAGACATCAATCATTTTCAAGTACACAACAAAGGTTTTCTCAATACCATCTACAATCATTGTCCATGACCAACTTGTGAATAGCTTCATCATCGTTTTCAAAACTGAACTGTCTTTTCACAAAAGTTTCGTCTTCTACACAGTTACCAGCATCAACTTATACTTTAGGAGATTTACTACTTTTCATATCAGGCTAGTTTTTCAAAAGCGATTTTATCTAGTCAAAGATTTTTCTGGTCAAATTGGTGGCTTCCTTGTCTTTATCAAGATTATAAAGACCTGCCCATGTCATTGTAGGTCATTTCAATCAAATAACCAAGTTTGGGGCCTACGCTGCTCCACTAACACTTCAAAGATTTCTGAGTGCAAAGCCTATTCACAATAGAACCGCTTGGGAACCAAGCGCTCTGGGATGCTAGTCTGCATGATTAGCGCTATATAAACGCAAGTTGTTGTTCTTGAAATGCTAAAAAAAAATGGTCCTGGAATAGAGGACAAAAATCACTCAACAACATATACATTATTAAAACATTTCAATTTAGTTTGGCTCCTCTATAAAATACGAAAAACAAAGACTCCAGCAGATTGAAAATTAAACAAAAAAGCTGTTTATCAGTAGAAGTCTTTATCAGGTATGGGCCAAGTAATGCACTGCATGAGCTCATAATTTCATCGCTGCCACCAAATACTCTGTAATGAACATCACCAGTTGAGTTCAGATCCCCAGATGTGATACTATGGCTGTATAGTGTTCTTGTCAGGCCACACTTAGCTGCATACAGTGCCGGTTACCGTGACACAAGGGACTGCCCAGGCACTAGAGGCAGTGCAGATAAGAGCAGTGTTAGAAGAATGAGCTTCAATCAATGATTAGACAATCTAAGGTGCTTCAGTCTTGAGAGAAGAGGGACTCAAAGAGACCTCATAGAGGTGTATAAAATTTTAAATGGGATTAAAAAGGTAAACCCAGAACAATTACTACACGACAGTAGAACAAGAGGAAATAAGTTTACAGTTGTCAAGGGCAATATCAGGACAGATACCACAAAGTTTACTGCAGAAATAAACTAAAAATTGAACAGACTGGCATAAAGGTGGTTGAGGCCAGAATCCTGGACTAATTTAAAAAGCAACTTGATGCTGTGATCAGAGGATGGTATGCTATATATTCTGGAGGGACAAGATCAGATAGATCAAAAAACCTTCTTCATCCAAACCGGTTTTGTGATCTTGTGAAACTAATTTGACAAATTATACTTCATACAGAACTAACAAATTGTATATCACTAAAGTAACCAAGGAGGTGCCCCACTTTAACTTCAGATAAATTCCTTCACAATTTACGAGTTTTAAAGTATAGTAAACCATCCACGTGTTCCCTTAAAAAATGGATAACTGGATACATGCCCACTGGATTAAGTTCATCCATCCACCATTACAGTATCAGTGAAAAGCCACCCAAGGTCATAACTCTTTTTGCCAACTCCTTCCCCATGTGATGTTACAGCAGAAAACCTAATAAAACTACAATACTTGAAGGAAGTGCATTTTGTTACGCCTGCTGGAATTGAATGTCAATTAGCCCTTAAGGATTGTTGCAGTGAGCCATTTTTGGTCATGGATGGAAAGCCACATCTGGCTGATAACCAATCACTCACCTACAATTACTCTTTAGAGCCTCCTTTAGAGCCTCCTTTTGATGTTGGCTGTTTTAGGACCCAGTTCAACTATCGTTCCACCTTTGAGTTTTACCCCATCAGCGTTTAAGAAAACCTCTCATTTAAAAGTTTAGAATGCTTGCTGGAACTTTTTGTCCATTCATGTCAAAATTTAATACTCCTGGGTAAAATATCCTGCTCAATCTCCTACATCCAGAATAATTGCATCCTCAAAGTCTTCAATCCAATCTGTTAATGGTCCACGTGACAAATCACTATAACCAATCACTCACCTACTATTGTTCAGTATCCATATTTGTGGTACGCATCTTGTTTCAGCCAATAAATGACATTTAATCTTCTTCACAAACTCATGTCTGACCCATATGAACCAATAATTTTGTGTAATCTTGACTTTAAAAAGTATTACACTAATGCTCTTATCTCTGCCATTCATAGAAAGTAAATATGACCACAACTGTTTCCCTCCACAATACTGCCTGCCTATGTCACTGCCTCAACCCTACATAGCTGAAAATTTCATCCAAACATATGTCATCAAAGACTAGACTCACTGGCCTCCTCAGCTACACCCTGCACAAGCTCAAGACAATAACTCCACAGGCTACATCCTCTTCCACACTAGGCTCCAGGAGCCCATCTCCACTGACTCCCAAACCCCCAACAGATTAACTGTAAGACCCTCGTCCTTATTTTCAAATGCCTCCATGGCCTTGTCCCACTCTACATCTATGATCTCCTCCGATCATGCTCCTTGTACATTTCACCCCACCAATGACAGGTTTGAATACTCTTAGGCATGGTGAAAGGTTTCCGCATGTGTCAGACACCCAGCTGACCCCAAAAAAGGATTGCTACAACTGTCATATAAATAGGGGCACAACTGTACCTGGAGGGTTTGACAATTCCCCCAAACAGCAGCCTTTTGCTTGCATCTCTAGAAGCAGCAATGCTTTTGAAAGCAAGTTAAATGGATTGTCGTCCATTACAGTTCTGACAGTCAGACCTGCTGAACATTTAGCCTTCCCGTTAAAAACAAATTGCTTTCCTAATTGCTCACCTATGCAGCTCTTCCCCAAAACATGAAACAAGTACTGTGGCACTCACTTTGCGACAGTGAGTTTAAACAATATTTTTGTATGGCTCCTGTACAAACTCAAATGTGCCAATGGTCTCCTCTGCTTCAACTGCAGAAAGGCCACTTTTATTTTAAAAGTGCAGATTAAACTACAATCAGAACACCGAAGACTATCCTAAAGGTAAGTAATCCACCTTTCAAGATCTCCATGGGTGTTGCAGCAATAGTCTCCTTTTTCCAATTTAGGAACATAGGAACAGGAGTAGGCCCAGGCCATTCAGCCCCTCGAGCCTGTTCTGCCATTCCATTAGATCATGTCGTAGCATCATGTCATCATCTGTAGCTCAATGGCAATCACCCACCCGTACCCCTTGATACTCTATACCTAACAAAAAACTTATCCACCTCAGTCTTTGACCGATTTGAATAAATGCAGCATCCCCAGCCTTTTGGGGGGAGAGAATCGTACAGGTGTAGTGAGGGTTGACCCCAGACTAACCAGTACCCAACGCCAAGCTGGCGCTCTCGTTGGTGGCGAAGCCCCAGCAGCAGCAGCAGCAGCAGCAGCACACCCTGAAAATACTGGTAACGTGCAAGAAATCCCAAACCCAAAGCACTCACACAACACCTCTATGCCCCCGGGAGCGGGAGAGCGGGTTTGTAAAGCGGTTAGAAAGCTAATACCGTAGGTTTAGTGAAACCTGCAGCTCGGGGTCGTGTCTGAGGGTCACTCCCTCCACAGTGGAGTTGGGATGGGCGGTGGGCGGTGGGGGGCGGTGGGGGGGGGGGAGAGGGAGAGAGAGGCATATTTTCCCGGGGATTGACCGCGATTCTCAGCAGTTGCCGATCGTCCCCGCGGCCAGAACGACGGTCAAGGCTCACGGTCCCCCACGAGGCCGCGCTGCCGCCGCCCTCAGCCCTCAGCCGCCATCACTCGCTGTGCTGAGCGCAGGCCGCGGGCTGGCGCCGAGGCCGAGCAGCCACTGACGGCTGCGTACCCCGGAGCTGTAGGTAAGACCCCCCAGTCCACCCGCTGGCGGCTCACGGCCCCCCCTCTCCCCCCTGTCTCCTGCCCCGCGGGGGGAGTGGGCGGCGCGGGCTGTACCTGGAGGCTGCGCTCGGGAGGCGGCGGCGGCGGTTTGAGACGTTTGTCCGCCTCGAGCTGCACTCCACCACCAGGGACGTCATCATTGTGCGACAACGACGGAGAGAAAGGGAGGGGGCGGGGAGGGGGAGACGAGGTGGGGGAGGAGACGAGGTGGGGGGCTGTGGGGGGAGACTAGGTGGGGGGGCATACGAGCTGGGGGGGCTGGGGGGGGAGATGAGGTGGGGGGGCTGGGGGGGGAGACGAGGTGGGGTGGGAGACAGGTGGGGGGGAGTGAAGAGGTGGGGGGGGAGACGAGGTGGGGGGAGGCTGGGGGGGGAGACGAGGTGGGGGGGGGGCTGGGGGGGAGATGAGGTGGGGGGGGCATACGAGCTGGGGGGGCTGGGGGGGAGACGAGGTGGGGGGGGCATACGAGCTGGGGGGCTGGGGGGGAGATGAGGTGGGGTGGGAGACGAGGTGGGGGGGGAGAGAAGAGGTGGGTGGGGGAGACGAGGTGGGGGGGCTGGGGGGGAGACGAGGTGTGGGGAGGCTGGGGGGGGAGACGAGGTGGGGGGGCTGGGGGGGAGACGAGGTGGGGGGGCTGGGGGGGAGACGAGGTGGGGGGGGCATACGAGCTGGGGGGGCTGGGGGGGAGACGAGGTGGGGGGGGAGATGAGGTGGGGGGGTCTGGGGGGGGAGACGAGGTGGGGTGGGAGACGAGGTGGGGGGGGAGAGAAGAGGTGGGTGGGGGAGACGAGGTGGGGGGGGGGCTGGGGGGGAGACGAGGTGGGGGGGGCTGGGGGGGAGACGAGGTGGGGGGGCTGGGGGGGGGAGACGAGGTGGGGTGGGAGACGAGGTGGGGGGGAGAGAAGAGGTGGGTGGGGGAGACGAGGTGGGGGGGGGCTGGGGGGGAGACGAGGTGGGGGGGGCTGGGGGGGGAGACGAGGTGGGGGGCTGGGGGGCGGGGACGAGGTGGGGGGGCTGGGGGGGAGACGAGGTGGGGGGGCATACGAGCTATGGGGGCTGGGGGGGAGATGAGGTGGGGGGGAGATGAGGTGGGGGGGCTGGGGGGGGAGACGAGGGGGGGGCATATGAGCTGGGGGGGCTTGGGGGGGAGATGAGGTGGGGGGGGAGACGAGGTGGGGGGGGCTGGGGGGGAGACGAGGTGGGTGGCGGGAAGAGGGGGAGAGAAAGTTTAGTTTTTAAAGATGTTTCCTAAAAACTTACTCAGATGCCAAGAAATCTTACATCACTAATTTCCCCCACTCAAATTATTCTATTGTAGAGGAAACTCCAAATATTATTGTCGATGCCCATTTTATTTTTGGGCACAGTTCCTCGAGCAGAAACACGTATTATACAGCAATTCTGTGTTTAATACATTTCTGTTATAAACAATTGAAATAGAAGAGGCATTGTTACATTTAAGATATCAGAAAGCAGTTAAAATTATCCATTGTGTTGATGTTAAAGTAAAGTTCGCCTACAGAACACACAGTGAGACATTGCTGTCCATACGTTAGCTGCTGTGTTCACCTACAAAATATAGTCACAACAGTTTACATTAATTCCTGTTAACCATTCGAGACATTCTCATGACAAAAGGTGCTGTATCAAAACTTAGGATTATTATTTATTATTTGTATTCAAACAGTTTTGACTATGTGGTATAACATTTCTATTATAGCAGCAGTTGTTTCTTCACAAGTTGGCTTTATAAGATGCATAGGAAGCAAAAATCCATATCGTCCTCTATCCCGAAGTTCAAAGGTAAATGAATATTTGATGCCCATGTCATAGGCCCAGTCATCTGAGCATCCAGTAGATAAATCTGAAACAAAGTTAAGAAATTTGGAAATGTTAGCTTTTAAGTGTCGATATTAACTTACTACACAATTATTATATTTCTGTATAACAATTGTAATATATTGATCACAATTATATATAGAAAAGAGTCCAGATACACAAAGCATAAGGCACCTGTATAGTATATTCCAGACTTGCCCTTGAAAGACTCATTTGACAGCAATCATTTCTGCTGCTTGTATATCCAAGACTTCAGACTGAAGAAAACATTTCCAGTCACAAGTTATGGAAACTATCATCAGACTATTTCAAGTATCAAAAATTTTCTGCATAGGTCTGCTGTAGATATATTTGCAAGATCCATCTGAGATCTGGTGTTTAAGATCCATCATATAATACTTATCTCTGAGGACATGATAAGGTGGTATAAAAATTTAATTTGATCTAAATATATAACAATAATGAATCAATCATACTCACAGATAGTTTGGGCCGAAGTTCCATAAGTATAGCTGGTATGGTGCACAGACTTTAGAACATTAACTGCCTTCTGTGCTACATGGTGCTAAACAAGAATATATGAATATTAGTTTATGTGCAAATAGTTTTGTAATTTAAAATTGCTACTGGACTGATTACTTACCAATTCAGCATGATCTCTGGAATTAGATGTTGTGTAGGAATATGGGAAAAGAAGCATTTGAGAATATGAATGGACTGAAATGTAGCTCTTGATGTGATTCAATCGCTGTCTGAAAAAAGTAGCAACAGCTTTCACCTCTGGCTCAGACTCAGGGTATTCACCACAAAATATTTGACTACATGGATCTTTTGATGCTCCTTTACCTGTGCACAACAAAATAAATACTAAAATTATGCGTTTGGATAAGCGGGGCCATCTTGGAGATGACCTAGCTAAGGTGATGTTCTTAGCAATGGAATGTCAGAATCAACTCAGCCCTTTTTGGTGGTCTGGACAGTGCTTTCTGAGCCACACTGGTGTAAGCACTGTATTGAGGCATTACTGATGGCAGACTTGGCTTGTCTGCAGTACTTGGGGAGGTAGACCAGTAATTGGAGAAGGGATTATAATAATCCTTGCATTTGATGTAGCACCTTATCAAGTTATCGAGACGTCTCAAAGTGCTTCACAGAATATATTGTACTGTAAAGTGGTTTGACTGTGTATTTGGTAGGTGAAGCCTACAAAAGGCTGGCACATGTGGAAACATATGACCATGCTTAAGGGAATCAAACCAGGCTGATTTCCATTCATTGCCAGCTACACATGGAAATTCTCATGTCTGGAATGGAATGCTTATTCTCTCCCCAGAGGGGCTCACCCAGCTGGGTAGCAAGAAACGATAACTATAGCACCCTTCATATCGAGTAGCGTCTCGGTGTGCTTAAAACAACAACAACAAAATTACATTTATAGAGCGCCTTTCACGTTGGGAGGACGTTCCAAAGTGCTGAACAGTCAGGTGTCGGAGCCCAAGTATGGGGGGGGGGGGTGGTGGTTGTGTAGGGGTGAGGGAAGGCAGAGAGGTGGGAGGGAGACCAAAGCACGGTCGAAGAGAAGGGTCTTGAGACTGGTCTTGAAGGAGGCAAGGGAGGAAGCGAGATGAAGGGACCGTGGGATGGAGTTCCAGAGTGTGGGAGCAGAGAGGCTGAAAGCCCGGCCACCGATGGTAGGGCGGGTCGGATGGGAGACATGGAGCAGGCCAGAGCCTGCTGAACGGAGGGAGCAGGCAGGTTGGTAGGGAGTCAGCAGGTCAGAGAGTAGGAAGGGGCAAGGCCATGGATGGCCTTAAAGATGAGGACGAGGATCTTGAACTCGATCCTCTGGGGGATGGGGAGTCAGTGGAGTTGTCCGAGTGTGGGAGTGATGGGGTCACGGCGTTAGGCAAGGTCGAAGGAGAAAGTTTTCTGGTACAATCTGAAGACCTTGGGTTTGAGGACCCTAAATTATTCGTTGAAGTAGTGCTGGAGGTTAACCAGCTAAATCACATAGCTTTTGCTTTGAAACCACTGTATGGCAAGCTTCCTGCTGGGAATGGTAATGGCATTGTTTTTTTTAAATTTGGAAACCATTTGCAATCAAGATGTAAGTGTGAACACCACAGGGTACATTTTATACTTTGGAAAGTTAGGTAGCTCACCACACCAGTTTACATCCCAGTTGCGGTTCAGATCAGTTCCAAAGCACTCGCTGCCTTTATTCCTGGAACGATTCTTTCTCCAGAAGCGGTCCTGAAACATCCATTGAATTTGAAAATGTTTTGTTACCTTTTGAATGCCATCCCATTGTAATATAGGGTTGAAATACTTTATGTTTTACACCAGATCTGACAACAACACTATACAGCTTCAGTCACAGTTGGGTGGGGTGAACTGAACCAGCCTACCTCAATCAGTATTCAGTGAAGTAAGAGTCAAACGGCAAGTCTGGGATCAGGAATAAGAGTCACAAAGAAAAATGACTAGGACTTGCATTTTTATAGCATCTTATCCCATTAAAATATCTCAAAGGGCGACTCAGGTAATTACTTTGACGCAAAATGACTATTTTTATAGGTAATTGTAGGAGTTATTTGTACTGGCAAATCCCACCATTAGCCATGAGGTAAATTGTCAATTAATTTAGAAGATTGCCGTCCAGGATGTCAGGAGAACCTTTTTAATGCCTCCGAGGTCTGTGCACCAATACACGGGCATTTTCCCACAAACACACTGTTACTACACTTTACAACAAACTCAGTAAAGTGCTTTTAGACATTTTGTTTAAAAAAAAGTGCTACAAATGCAAGGATTATTATTATTATTTTCTTCATTTGAATTCGAATTTGTTAAAGATTGCAGTGCATTTTTAATGTTTAGTTTATGCAAGAACAAAGGGTTTGGTTTAAATGCCGAAGTGGATGAAAAAGACGTCAGTGGAAAAGCAAATCGTTAAAAGTATTGTTACTCACATAATAATAACAAAATAATATGTACAGTAAATATTTACAACATTTATATTTAAGATCAATATGTTTTATTATGCTTTTCTAACTTCCCCCTTTCTCCTATTCACCTAAATAAAGCTATCTTTTGAAGCTTGACTATTTAGCAATTGTTAAAGTTCTTTGACCTTTGCTGCTGTGTAGTTCAGTAATATCAATGCAAGTGCTATTGTATATTGAAACATTATACAGTATTGTAGTGTACTGAACTATCGTCTTTATTTCGCCTAAATAATTCAATTCACTTGAGACGTCTTGAAGATGTGATCAGGCGCCATATCAAATGCAAGGATTATTATTACTATTATTACTTATCTGGGTCTAGAAATAGTGTTGATAAATAAACATCACCACCCAGTGGCTATATTTAATAACTACATAACAATTGCAAGGGAGATATTCTACCTGAGTCTAGGTAGAAAATCAAACAATTTTTTGGGATGGTTTCAGTGTGCGGCCTCCAACACTTTCTGGTGGGCACAGTGCGACTTTTCATCGTCTGCGTTACTTTCTCCCCTTCTTGATTAATTGATTGACATTGATGACCCTCAAGTGGATCAGATTACTTGAAAGTAATGAGCAGTGTTACTTTCCTGCCTGATACAAGTTTATTATTTTTAGCTTTTATATAAGAATATACAGTTACAATCTAGATGTTTATTTTAACATCTGCTAAGAAGAACAAGGTCCTAGGTTATGATCATTGAACGCATTCTCCTACTAGAAATATTTATATCTGGTGTAGGCCAAATGTATTGACCCTTGTCTTAGAGTAATACAATTTTGAGTCTTATTTCTCCAAGTGGAAATCTGCAACTCTTTTAACCTGATTGATTTTTTCTCATGATTTCATTGCTGATTCTTAGAATTTTTTTATTTTCTATGTACATTTTCCTCTGATGTCAGTGTTCATTGTTACTCTATTTTTAACTCGCTATTCTGGTTTTACTTCCCTGGCAAGGATTTTCATTCTCAGCTGTTCTCCGTCCCAGCGATTGCTGTTGTGCTTCAGTTTTCAGTGTATCCAGCATCTTGGGAATATAGATGTGTTTCAGAATGAACTATCCCCTAAGGATTAGGTTGCTTTTCACACCGTGACTTTCATGGAAATTCTGTAAATATAGCCAACCACATAAATAAGGCAAATTAATGCAATAATGAAATTGAAAAAAAACTTACAGTTGTCCATGTGTATTCATATCCATCAACATTCCACACTGGGAGAACATATATTTCCAAAGTATTCACAATGTCAGCAATCACTTTGTCCTGTGTACCTATGAGCTAAGACATGAGTGAGCTGTTCAGATAGGTTCAAGTCTTACGTCTTCATTAGCAAGACAGAAAAATAATGATGTGATTTTTAAAAATTAGACAGATCTACAAAACATCAAGTCTATAATAGCTGAGATTAAGTTTTACTTGGGATTTAAATAGGATATTATAAGAGCATTTTTCAATCTGTCGTTCACTTGACACATTTTTTTAATGTCTGATCCCATATGATTTTGCCTAAGTTGACAGTACAGACAATATTCTGTCCCCTTGCTCCATGCATCTAGTAACATTCAACATTTTGTACAAAGTAAGTGATCTGAGGAAATGTTTAACAGAGTTCTTTACTCAAGCCAGGAAAATGATTGAGTCATCAGGGCCACAACACATCTCTTAGTGATGAGTACAGAGTGACATTGAAAGAGATGTGGCACAATATTGTCTTTTCCAGCTTATTTGTCATAGAATGGTCAATAGCACAGTGCGATCAGTTAAGTGGAACATGTAAACTTACAAAAGGGTGAATTATATGTTGTAATATTACACTTTCTCATACCGAACATTAAAAATTGCAGATTGTTTTGCTCCTAAAGATAAAAGATGTTGATACTTTTCCATTTTGGGTATCCAGGATTAAGTGAGGTCAACTACTCTGCTTCAAACAATAAGTATAACTTGTATTTATATAGCACTTTTCACACAAAGGAACATCTCAAAGTGCTTGATAAACATAGCGGTGAGCGAGGAAAAGGGAGATTTGAAGATGTTGACCGAAGACACGGTTAAGAGGTATGTTCTTAGGATCAAGCATTGCTTGATTCAATCCGAGCTAAAAGCCGGAGAAGTTAATAGATTCAGAGAGCCAGAGTAAATAAGTGGCAAAGAAGATGAACAATATGTCTCATTATTGCTCAAATCAGACATTCGTATAGTCTCTTGTTGATTGCCAATTTATTATGAACTGCATTACGGGCTCATGTCCAGGGATGATTGCCCTAAACGCACTTACTTAGGTACGTCACAGGTAACAGAGAGAGCAGAATTTCATCTCATCAGTCTGGGCTTGGAGCACGGTAGCTCTATAAAATTTATGGTTTAATATTTATCACATTTAATATACCAGATGCGCCAGAGATGGAGACCCCCTTCCCCCATCCTTGCCACATATTCAATACCATAGGTACTGTTTCACTGAAAACAGTGAGCAAGGGATGGAGTAGGGTGGATGGTATCTTCCATATTTGGACACATTCAATGCGATAGTGTATTCCAAAGAACCACAAATTCAAGAAACCACTTTCATGAAGATATATAATATGTAGATTGATTGTTCTCTATATGTTGGTGAGGGGGCAGGCAGGGGTACAGCAAACACGTTTTCATACACTCACATGTTGCACAAACCACAAGCAGAATGCAGGTGATACCCACTCCCGGGCATGAATACCACAGTCAATCCACACGGCACCTTTTGGTGGGCTGGTACCTTTAAAGATCTGTGGAAAGTAAAATGTATCACAAATATGCAGGGACATTTTCCTAAAAAGAAAACGAGACCAAATACAAATTATTCTTACCTTTAAAACATAAATTAGTCGCTTTTCTGATGATGGTCCAATAAGTATTTGTTGAATGAAGGATGGATAGTTTCTTACCATTTGTGACATCCAAAAATAAATCTATGCATTATATCCAGACATGAAAGATAGATTAAATATTTCATATTACTTATAAAGGCCACAGAAACACAAGAAATCAGTAGGATTAAGAAAACAGAGAGTACTCTACTGTGCAGGAAACAGATTATATTCTTTGCATTTAATATGGAGCCTTGTCATATTTATCAGGACATTTGAAAGGGCTTCACAGGATTTTACTTTTAGTGACTGTGTAATTGTAGGTAAACACAGTAGCCCATTTATGAATAGCAATATCCCAAAACAGCCACAAAATGAATGACCAATTTTATCTCAGGGATTGTTGGCCAGAACATTGGGAGATGTTCTTGTCAAGTAATACATTGGGATCTTTTAATTTCACCTGAACAGATAGTGATAGCAATCTCAACCATGAGTCAGAAGGTTGTGGATTCAAGCCTGATGCCAGGATTAGGAATCACATAGTTTAAGCTCATACTCCAAACTGGGGGATGTTGCATTGCCATCCTTCGGATGAGACATTAAAACTAAGGCACAGTCTACCTGTTCAGGGTGGACATTAAAGATCCTATGGCACTATTTGAAAAGAGAAGGGAGTTTCTCTCAATGTCCTGGCCATCAATCCTCTAAATAAAATTGTTCACTCGGTCCATGGCTGTTTGTGGGAATTGTTGTCCACAAATTGGTTGCCCACAAATTTTACCTTACATTATATGCTGCAAAGCACTTTGAGAAATCTTGATGATGTGATAAGGCGCAATATCAAATGCAAGAATTATTACATATAATTAGCCCTCAACTTTCATTACATGTTATATTTATAAATCATACAAAGAATATGGTGATACCTTTTTAAACACATAAATGCTTTGTATTTAACAAACCGTACTGAATTGCTGTCCTTGAAGGAGGCAGAACCAGAAAGAAAAGGATGCTTCCTGGGCAAAATCATTCCAAATTGAGGTGAATACAATGCCCTATGATAACAGGATATATTTAAAGCTACATTTAAAAAAAACGCTTACCTCATCCAGTGAATGATACTGTTCGTAATAAGAAGAGAAGCCACGGGGAGTTAATGGCTGGTTTATGCCTTTTTGTTTCTCTATCAGTTGCTGAACATCCTCAATCATTACCCTAAAATGATAGGCGATTTAGTATTTTGGCGAATCAAACCTCGTACAAATATTTTGTCCAACAGGTTTATGAAATTCATTGAGAAAGATAATATTAAACCACCAGTGCCAGGAATAAAGATAAAAAGAACCAAGACATCAATGCAAGCCCCCTAAATGGCACTTTGTATACCCTGTTCAGTATAGTTTGCCAGGTTCCTCATGATAAGAAGTGTAGAGAATACCTGTAGGTGGTGTGTGCTGAGTTTAGTCGCATTTTCAACTCTTCAGCATAAGATGCATTAACGTAAAGGTGGATTTCACTGTTGTTTCTGATGTCACTGAGTGAACTTGGATGCCACAAAATGGTCTGCAGACAGTCAAAGACATATCAGATCACCACTGACAGTTACAAACAACAACATAAAAGCATTATTTTCAGAGTAAACATTTGTAAACTTTATTCAGAATAGCTTTATCATGACACATACAATTTCTGAAAGGCTGATCATTGAACAGAAACAGACTATGTTGTGACACGCTCTATTGGCTGAGACTCATGACTGCTTCGTGTGCACAGTGAAATAAATTAAAAGCTGTCTCTCCTTGTGTTGGATCCCATGCATGGTGGAGCTGGGGAGATCGGCGAAGAGGGCATTTGAAAAGTTGAGTCGGGAGGTGCCAAACGGATGGACAAGTGTTTCGGCTGTGTCTGGGGTAAGGAACGGTCAGAGGCGGGCAATGTGGTGGAGGTGGAGGATGGTGGTCCTGGTCAGTGTCCAGATGTGGGGAAAGAAGGACAGCTGTGGGTCGAACCTGACTCCTAGGTTGCGCACTGGTTCAGTGAGTCTGAGGGAATAGGCTGGGGAGGTTGACAAGGTTAGAGCTGGAGAGCCGCAGAAGATGTTGACGGGAACTAATGAGTATGGATTCCGTCTTGTCAACATTTAGTTGTAGGACGTTTTCGCTCACCCAGGTCCTGATGTCTGCCAGACAGCTGAGAGAACATCAGCGTTTCTTTACTCATGAAAGTCACCATGGTACACCAGTCACCTCGCTCCCTTAAAGCACAGGTGCACGCCACTGAACCCATCTGGCTAAAATCAAACTTAACGATCCATCGGCAGATCTGGACCTTATCAAATTTTACAGCTCCGACCTCGCCTCTGCGAAATCGTCGTTCTACTCCAAGACAATCTTGGAGGCCAAGGACAACCCCAGGCTCCTCTTCTCCATCACCATCGGCTCCTCCGCCCATACTTTCACGCCTCGCCCATCCTCAACTCCAATGCCAACTGCGAGGTGATGCTGGACTTCCTCGAATCCAAAGTCGAGGGGATCTGCTCAGCTGCCCCTGCCCTTCCATCTACTATCACTTCCCCATTTCCCCCTCTCACCCCAGCACCTACCCATCCCTCCCCTCACATCTTCGAACCTGTCTCCCCCTCCTCTCTCACCACCACTATAACCAGCATAAAACTCACCACCATCTCCCTCGACCTCATCCCTACCCCTCTCCTTACCGCCCAGCTCCACCTCCTTGCCCCTCTACTCACAGACATCATAAACCTCTCCCTATCCACTGGTACCATTACCACCCATTTAAAAATGGCCATCACCATTCCTATCCGTAACCCCCCCCCACCCCCCCACCCCTCCGCTCAGCAGGCTCCAGCTTACTTCACGTCTTCCGCCTCGCCCGCCCCAACATTGGCGGGCAGGCCTTTTGCCACTCTGCCCCCACTCTCTGGAACTCCATCCCGCAGTCCCTCCACCTCGCCCCCTCCCTTGCCCCCTTCAAGACCCATCTCAAGACCTTCCTCTTTGACTGTGCTTTCGATCAACCTGCTTCCCTCCCTGACCTCCACCCTCACTGATCCCAACCCCCAGCTCATGTCTGAAATACTGACACAGCACCTTGGGATGTCCTCCCGACGTAAAAGGCGCTATATAAATGTAATTTTGCTGTTGTTGTCACAGCTGGAGGAGAAGTAGATTTGTGTGTTGAATGCATACATGTACATGTGCAAGTTTATCCCGTGTCTGCAGATGACATCACCAAGAGGGAGCATATAGATGAGGAAGAAGAGGAGCCAAAGAGCCCTGGGGTCCACCATAGGTGGGGGCGGGAGGAGAAACTGTTTGAAGAGATAAAGTGAAGGCGGTTTATTAGGTAGGGTTCGAACCAGGCTAGTGCTGTCCCACTAAGGTGGATGAGGGAGGAGCGGTGGTGGAAGAGGATGGCATGGTTGACTGTGTTGAATGTGGTGGAGAGGTCCAGGAGGATGAGGAGGCAGAAGAAGCCCTGGTGACGGAGAGAGAATGTCATTTTTTTATCTTGGCAAGCACAATCTCTGTGCTGTGGGCAGGGCGGAAACCAGACTAGAGGGGCTTAAGGAGGGAGAGGAGGGAAAGGTGAGAACAAGACTGGTTAGTGACAACGTTGACAAGCTTTGGCAAGGAAGGGCAGGTTGGAAATGGAGTAGGAACCATGTATGTAGATGGCAAAGTAATTTGTGAGGTTGGAGGGATCAAGGGTGGGTTTCTTGAGGAGGGGAGTGATGACAGCAATTTTAAGGGGGAGAGGAACAGAGCCTGAGGAGAGAGACTAGTTGACCGTGTCAGCCAGCAGGGGGAGAGGAGGGAGAATTGCGTGACCAGCAGCTGGGTGGGGAGGGGTTTGAGGCTGCAGGTGGTGAACTTCATCTGGGAGATAGTGGTTGACAAGGAGGGGGGAGTCTAGGATCTCTTCCCACTTGGCATTTGAAGTGAGGATGGAGGCAGCTTGGGGGAGTGTGCAGAGGAAGTGATGGATGGTGGTGAACCATCATTGGATTGGGTTGTTTTTGGCCTCCAAAAATGGTTTTGGAGAAAAAAGGCAGTTTGGACCTGCAAGAGGGAGAGGCAGTAGATCCTCAGTAGAATAGCAGTAGAAGAAAGGTGTCTTATATCTAACAATTCAAAATGAGATTCCTTCATAAAAGATTGGGATAACTGGAAGCACGTCAGGCAGGTTACCATAAGGTTTCACAGTTCCAATGTATTAACCACATTAACTGAGAATGTATACCTCAGTCTTTGAAATAACTATTAGCTACTGAAAATATCAACAAATAGGGTCACTGACCAACAAGATGATTGCCTGAATGCCTTCTGGCAGCAATCTCATGCGTTTTTTTCCAGGAAAGCTTTAAATGGAGATATATCAGAAAAGGTAAACTAAAAGGAAAGGTTAAAAACTGCTTAGACTAAGACAGAAAATTTCCAGGTATGTCTAATTCTGAATTTTCAGTCTAACTTTGAATCGTGGCCTATAATTTACTCATAGGTACAGATAATAATATAATAATAATAATCCTTGCATTTGATATAGCACTTTTCACATCTTCTAAACGTCGTAAAGCACTTCATAGGATATACTCTAAAGTGAATTGACTGTATATTTGCAGGCGAAACATGGTAGCCAATTGCACACAGCAGTGTCCCACCAACAGTCGTGGATTGAGTGACCAAATTGTTATTTTATTTATTTCTTGAGGGATTATTATCAGGCGTGTGGAGTAAGGAAACTTGCCCAAGGTTTTGCCATGCCGGGAATTAAACCTAGGTCTCTTGCTTGCGAGGCGAGAGCTCTAATCACTCAGCTACAGGACTCCAGATAAAACATGTTTCATGGAACTAATGTAGCAAGTTTCCAATTCATCTTTCAGTTTAACAAGAGGTATTCCAATACAGATTATGCACACAATTTGTATCAATCATATTGAAGGACTCCTCCACTTAACCACTTGACATCCAAAGACCTAATTCCAGGTCAGTCCATATACACAAACACATAAATAAAAACGAGAACATTTCTTTAGTTCTTGCACATACAATCTGACCTATCAGAGATCTTCGCAACAAACATATTTGTCAGGATACTACTGTGCTGACATTAACAATGAAAATATACTTCACTTTAACTTGCACAAACCTTTTTTTTGTTATCTTCATGAATTTCACAAAATTGACTGCTCTGCATACCTTTAAATCTAATTATTATATGGGAAATTGATGTTTTAAATGAAACAAACAGCTCTAAAATTCCTCCAAAAACATTTACCTTGTACTGGCTTGAGATTTGTCTGATAAATTGAAGTTCTTCATTCAATGTAGGGGTAATGCACAAAACCTGATCTCTAAAACAACAAACAAGTATATTAGTATTTTGTAAAAATAGTTCAAGAACAATTAAAATCAGTTTATTTGGGCAAACAACTAAGCCATAGATTTACACATTCGCGTCATGGCTTTTAAGGTCAGAATGTTCTGAAATGAACACTGATTCACTCTTGAAAGAGTTTTATTTAATCAGTATTAACAGACGGCTCAATTCCACTATAGCGCAGTTGAAATCAAAGCAGAGAGTAAGTTGAACGAGCTGGTGAAACAGCAAAGAATCTAGTTTTATTACCACTTTATTTTTAAAAATAGAAAATTCCATTACTTACATATCCAATAATAGTTATAATTAATTATACTGAAATTGAAGACCAAGTAAAAATCACAGCTACCTTTCTCTTGGTGGGGGTGTAGATACAGCTAGTTCTATGGTGAAACTCAGTAATAAACACATTAAAATGTAAATTGTCATCTTGAACAGCAGAGGAGATTTATAGCGCAGCAGAATTTTACTATGTCACAGGTTCTCATGCACTGACAATTGATTGAAATGGAATTTATAATATTTGCACTAGTTAAAGTTTATATAGCCTGGAATCCAGCTCCCAAGCAGGAGGTGGAGATAAGATTACAATTAAAGGCCCCGTTCTCCCCACTACTTTAGTCACCCATTTTGCCTGCAGAAATTTAATCACCCAATTTCCCTGTGACGGTTCCACACATAAACAATCAACCTCTATTATCGGCTGAAGAAGAAGGGAATAAGTTTGAAATTGAATTCTCAATTCTATGAGTCTTCCCTTAAGACTGCTCTGAATGCAGCCATTTGCTATTCCAAGATGGGGCCGATCCCAAACAGTACTTCACTAAGCATCCATGCTGAGGTGATGAAGATTGTACTACAATGCAAATTGACATTTATATAATGCCTTTCATGTCAGGAGGCTATGCCAAGGATAACCAAGAAGGATGGCCGACATCAGAACACTGACTAATTTAAGAAACTGGTTGATGTTGTAATGGGAAAATGCTGGAGCGGGCAGTCTGGAAGGATGAGATCAAATGGACTAAACAATCTTCTTTTTTCATATTTTCCTTTGATCTTGTGGAGAAAAAAACAATGACTTGAAAGGTACTTTGTATAATACAAACTGATCAGAAGAACAGTAACATGTTGTGAAATCTTTGTTATCTTATCAGTTCCACTGAAAAGTAACAGATTAACCTTGTGACAGCAACAACAACAAAATTATATTTATTTTCCCTTTCATGTCGGGAGGATGTGCCAAGGCGCTGGACAGTCAGGGGTCAGGACCCGAGCATGGAGGAGGGGTGGGATAGGGGCAAAGGGAGGCAGAGAGGTGGGAGGACGATTGAAGGCACGATCGAAGATGAGGGTCTTGAGACCGGCCTTGAAGGAGGCAAGGGAGGAAGTGAGGCGAAGTGACTGTAGGATGGAGTTCCAGAGTTTGGGGGCAGAGAGGCTGAAAGCCCAGCCACCGATGGTAAGGCGGGAGACATGGAGGGGACTGGAGCCCGCTGCACGGAAGGAGCGGGCAGGTTGGTAGGGACTTATTTTGTTATTTGAGACTTACAAACAAAACAAGTAACTTAGCGGTGAACAAAAAGGGAAGAGTGCAGCACTCATAGGCATCAACAGTAAGTTTAAAATGTGCGGATAAGGTAATCTTTTGTTCGTAACCTCTTCACCCAGTTACACTACGGAAAATTGGCCTATGTGGAATTTTTTTGTTGCTGTAGCTCCTCAAGCCAAAGCCCTAATGAGTCGGATGGACAAGCAGCGGGATAACTTGTCAGATAGTGCATTCAATGGCAAACTGCATGGTTAGACTCCAGCAGTACCCCAACGCATACTCCGGAGTCACCAAACCTTGGTTCTTGCCAATATGAGTCGACTACTCTCCAGAATTAGGTAAACAAGATGAGACCCTCCAGGGACGGAGTGTGCATTCCATTCCAATAAATATCTCTGAAATGTTCATGTATAAGTGGAATGCATGGATCTCTGTTTGGTTTGGATACTCTTAAGTATGGTGATGGGTTTCCAAATGTGTTAGACACCTACCTGACAAAAAAGTATACCCTGTGAAGGATTTTACGATGTCCCCCTGATGTGGGGGAGTTTATTACTCCATAGTAAATCCCGTGAAGCACTTTGAGATACTTTGTGGAGTCTTCTAGCTTAGTGGTTAGAGCACTCATCTCGCAAGCGAGAGGAACTGGGTTCAGTTCCCGGCAGGACGAAATGTTGCGCAAGTTTCCTTACATGCTTCTGTTTGCTTAGCAGTAAGTAGGAACCCGATTGGTGGATTACTTTTCTGGGGGTAATAATCCCTTAAAAAAAAATAATAATTTGGTCACTCAATCTCAATCCATGTCTGTTTGTGGGACACTGCTGTGTGCAATTGGTTGCCCAATTGCTCAACGTGCGAAAAACCGAGGCCCTCCTGATTGGCTCACGTCAGCGCCTCCGCACCTCAGGCGCTGACACCATCAGCTTCCAAGGCTGCACTCTCCACCTCTCAAAGCCAGTCAGGAACCTCGGCGTTTGTTCGACCCTGAGCTGTCCTTTCTCCCTCACATCCGCACCACAACTGGCACCGCCTTCCATCACCTCCGGAACATCGCCAGATTACGGCACTACCTCACCCCTCACGCTGCTGAAACCCTGGTTCACGCCTTTGTCACCTCAAGGCTGGACTATGGGAACTCTCTCCTCGCCGGCCTTCCCGCCACCTCCCTCCACAAGCTGCAGGTCATTCAGAACTCTGCAGCTCGTGTACTGTCCCGCACCAGGCTTCGGGACCACATCACTCCCACCCTCGCTCGCCTCCACTGGCTCCCCATCCCCCAGAGGATTGATTTCAAGATCCTCATCCTCACCTACAAGGCCATTCACGGCCTTGCTCCCTCCTACCTCTCCAACCTACTATCCCCCTACCTACCTGCCCGTACCCTCCGTTCCTCTGGCTCCGGTCTGCTCCACGTCCCCCGCCCCAACCGCCCTACCATCGGTGGTCGGGCCTTCAGCCTCTCAGCCCCCAGGCTCTGGAACTCCATCCCCCAGTGCCTTCGCCGCCTCCTCCCTTTCCTCCTTCAAGGCCGTTCTCAAAACCTTTCTCTTTGACCGTGCCTTCAGCTCCCCTCTCGACTCTCTTCCCCCTCCTCGCTCCCTCCCTTCCCTCCCCTCACCCTGACCATTTCCCCCCTGCTCGGGTCATGACCCAACTGTGCAGCGCCTTGGGACGTCCTCCTGACGTGAAAGGCGCTTTATAAATGGAATCTTGTTGTTGTTGTGTTTTGGCCACAAAATATACAGTCAATTCGCGTTACAGTATATTCTGTGAAGCGCTTTGAGACGTCTCAAAGACATGATAAGGTGCTATATCAAATGCAAGGATTATTATATTATTATTATTTATTTTGGCGCAATATCAAATGCAGGATTATTATTATTATTGCTTGTAGGATATTTTTGGTGCAGATTAGCTTCTGTGTTTGGCTGTAGAACAACGTTTTGGACTCTCTGCTCAGACTGTTGGGCACTAAATTTTAATCAGTTCTTCAGTCATAGCTGCATAAAGATTGCAACCCAGAATATAGCTGATTCATTGTACCAACTGCTAATATTGCAGAATTGCACTGAGCATTTTCAATTAAGCACTTAAATAAGCAAGCAATGACCATAGTAGAGCTGATTGAAAAATTTCATTTGAGTTTAATATAAGTAAGAATGCCTGATTTGCAGAACAGGAGTTGAATCATATTTTGGAGGAAGCTGAAGGCAGGAAACAGTAAATTGTTGTGCAGGACTGCTGGTAATCTTTCACACAGCAAGAGGAAGTGGGTAAATGTAATATCCATAAATAAAAATCTTAGCAGAGGTCAGGAAATAGTTTAACCATGTGGGTGAGTCAGCTTGATTCAGTGGTAGTATTCTTACCTCTGAAGCAGAAAATCATGGATTTAAGCCCCATGACTAGACTTCAAACTCAATGTAGTTTGTTTATATATTTGCAGTATCTGTGGTGTACTATGTTGGTGGAGATGCTGCCCTTTAGATGACTGATTAAATCAAGATCTTGTCTGCTTGTTTAGGTGGATGTTAAAAATACTATAACACTATTATATGCTTCCCTGGGGCCTGGCCAATTAATTATTCTCCATATAAATTGACCATTCACTTCATAGCTATTTATGGACATCAATATAAAGATTTGCTGTTTGCCAATAAGTATAGTCATTACACATGAGAAGCAATTCCCTGTGAACTGTTTAAAATGTAATTAGGCGCTTTACCAAATGCAAGGGTTATTATGAGAAAGCCATTTAATGAGGAAGAATGCACCAAGCTGAAGGAACTTCTGAAGCTGTCTTCTGAAGTGTCAGAAGCTGTCAACTCAATTTGAAAATAAATCCTCCTAATCTTCCCCTTTGCTATCTTAAGTAATTATCTTAAATTGATGTCTACGTGCTGACTTACTGAGTGGAAATAATTTCTCTATTCCTATCAAAATCATTCATAATTTTAAATTGGGTCTCCTCTCAAACTTCTCTGTTCCAATGAAAATAAAATAATAAGTAATGATCAGCGTATTTCATTCCCTTAACTATACCTTCATCACCTCCCAGCTGGATTTTTCTACTGCATTCCATACTGGTCTGCCTAGCTTCAGTATCCATACATTTCAACTCATCCATACACTTCAACTCTGGCAACTGCATCCTCATCAACACAAACTCCATATATGCATCACCCCAGTCCTCAGCAGGCTCCACTGGCTCCATTAGTTATAGGTAATGGTGAGGATCGATTCCATCATCTTCACCTATAATTCTCTTCATGCCCTAAATACCTTTCTATCTCTGCTCCTATCCCACTCCACTGCTTGGTCCTTCTGCTCGGCTGATTTGGGCTTTGCTAATGCCTGCTGTTCTCTGCCTGCACCATCATTGGTGGCCAAGCTTTCTAGTTCTACACCTTTCGCCACTGGAACTCTTTTTCTCGACCCTTCCATCTTCACCTCTCTGTCTTCAACTTTCCGCAATAAAACGTATCTCCTTGTCGTACTTATGGTCACTATGCCTTTCTCTCTACTCGACTCGATGTCTAACCCCACTGTTAAGGGCTTCATTGTACATGAAGAACCCTATATGAATGTGTTGTTGTTCCATATCAGGAGCATGTCTCAAAGTGTTTCACAGAATTTACTATAAAGTGTGGTGACTGTATTTTGTAGGTGAATGCCGTTGTCAATTTGCATTCAATATTGTCCCACACACAGCCATGATAAATAACTAGTTTTTTTGGAGGATTATTGGCAGGACATTGGGAGAAACAAACTCCTTCTCTTTTCGTATAGTACCATGGAATCTTTAATGTCAGCCTGAACAGGCAAACAGGATTCTGCTTTAACTTCTCATGACAAACAGTCGTGGGTTGAGTGACCAATTTATTATTATTATTCTTTTTGAAGGAATTATTATTCCTGGAAACGCGATCCACCAGGCTAATTTAAAAGAAAATTTAAATAATCTGTTAAAATAAAACAGGTGGTGGTAATTCCCCTAAAAGATTGATCATCACTTGACAGCATATCTTCTAGGATCATTTCCTCCACTGTTCAAAAGGTCGCTGTATTTGAGACATCTGTTTCTCAGCCTGAAGATCTCAGACAACTGAGTAAATCCCCACTATTTTAGTGAGTTAATGCACTACTTGGTAATCACATTAAAATTATTTTCTTAAGCTTGAAACCCAGGGGTGACAGCTCATCCATTTAGTGATCCAGAATACTTTTACAAATAGAAGTCAATATGCTTCTCCCCTAGCAAGACTGGTCTAATGCTGTGGCACAGTTACACCCTGGCACAGAATGGACACATCAAGCTGAATTCAGACATATCTTTCAGATTTGCTGTGCACAATTCACTGCCACTTTTGCCCACAGAATATACTGTCAATCCACTTTACAGTATATTTATTCTGTGAAGCACTTTGTAACGTCTCAACGAATCGATGAGTCGCTATATCAAATGCAAGGATTATTATTATTACTTTGTGAGCACTTTAAGCAAGACTGTAAAAGGTCTGCCTTACCAAACCAACAGGAGGGAGGTTGTACAGTATAAAATGCCATGTATACATCTTTTTTTACCAACTATCTGTGTTGTATGATTATGTAGAAATGGGAATGCCATAGTTGAAATCTATCCAGCTAAACCAGAAGCTGTTCACAAGATCTGTTCCCACGAAGAAAGCCCTTCTGCCCATTTGAACTCATCCTGGCATCTATTCAATGGACAGGAATGGGCTTGGTTGCAATGTGTCTCTTCCTCCAGAGCCAAATAATCTGCCAAAGCTCCCTTTCTTGGCTCTCACTGGTTGTCATTTGAATGAGGTGCTGTCCCTAGAAATCTTCTCAGCATGAAATACCAGCTCGAAGGGAGAAATGAACAAAAAGACATGCATTTTTTGTATTTTTATTGGCAACATATCAACTGATTTTTAGTTCATCGGCATATTTATATCATTTGCTTTTCAGCTTTGCAAGTACTTTAAATTAACAGCATTTTTGGCAATAGCTAGCATCAATTTAATAGGAAGTGTATAAACAAAAATATAAAAACATTTCCCCACCCAAACCTATTTTTGGGTATAAAATTTAGCTAATACAATGAAGTGCAGTTATTTTTTCTGGCATTGGGGTACCTTTGAGCTAATTCAAACATTTATTTTAAGGACTAGATTGGTTAGCTTCCATTTTATATTGCTGAACCAGAACAGGAATTACCACAGGAACTTTGACATGCACAACTGGGAACTGATTTTTCGATAAAACAATTTTTAAGTGGAGAAGATTGTGTAAGGGTTATACAAACCACAACAATTAATGTCCTGTTTTGGTATAAGTAAGGCATTAAAGCAAATTAGCTGCAGGTACTAGAGCAATTTTCATAATATAGCATTAGCTATTAGTCTTAACTTTCGTCCGAAGATTACTGCACCAGAAAATGTTTGGTCCAAGGCATAGTATTGCTGAACGATAAACAATACGCTACACCAATAACATCATTTGCTGCTTTTTATTGGTATTTGTCCAAAAAGGAAACTACTTTGGATATTTAGTGCAAAAATCCCACAGACGAATAGCAATTCTTCAGCTCAAGTCTATCAGCATGCATTCTAGTAAGCACCTTGCTATAGGTTTCTTTTTGCATGAGATGGAAAAACCACGGAACATTATTCCATCAACTTGATTTTTTTTCCCTGCAGTTGCAAAGCTGAATTAAAAGACCAAGATCTGATTCTGGTACAAAGCAGATCAAGTGAGCAATGTCCTGGGTTTGTAAATTGAATCCACAGTAGGATCAGACGAATAGAATTCATCATTCTTGCTGCGTTTTCTTTTTTCAGACTTTCTTCATTCCTCTACCCATCAGACATGCAAAGACGGTCATAACCATTTTTGGTTTTACTTCAACAAGATCTTCTGGAAGAGCGTAGACTCGAGCTCCAATTTTTCTTGCCATTGAGATGGCATACCTTAATAAAAGCATCAAACTTAAATGTTAGATTTATGCTCCATACAGGTTTTATCCTAAATCACAAAACAATAATTCAGGTTATGCCACTGATCTGATCTTCCCTCCATTTTTCTTGTCGATTACATAACATGCTTATTCCAAATGCTCTCCCTCCTTCCTGCATTTTCAATGTGTTGGAAGCACTATCTTTGACTCTAATTTATTCTTTCCCAGAAGTTCCAGATTGTCTTCCTCTCCACCCATGCACTATTCGAACCCCTTCAGTCGGGTTTCCGTGCTTTCCAAAGCACAGAAACTGCCCTGGTCAAGGTCACCAATGACATCCTGACCATCTGCGACCAGGGCTCCCTCTGCCTCCTCATCCTATCGGCGGCATTCGATACGGTTGACCACGCTATCCTCCTTCACTGCTTGTCCTCCCACCTCAACCTTCAAGGCCCTGTCCTTCAGTGGTTTAGGTCGTACCTCTCCCACCGTCTTCATTTTGTTTCCACAAACGGCTTTTCCTCCAGCTCCCGCACTGTCTCGTGCGGTGTCCCTCAGGGCTCTGTCCTCGGTCCCCTCCTCTTCACCCTCTATATGCTCCCCCTTGGTGACATCATCCGCAGACATGGGGTTAACTTCCACATGTATGCGGATGACACCCAACTCTACCTTTCCTCCTCTACCCTCAACTCCACGACCACCGATGTCCTGACAGCCTGCCTGTCCGACATCGAGTCCTGGACGAGAGACAACTTTCTTCAGCTCAACGTGCGTAAAACCGAGGCCCTCCTGATTGGCTCACGTCAGCGCCTCCGCACCTCAGGCGCTGACAGCATCAGCATCCAAGGCTGCACTCTCCACCTCTCAAAGCCAGTCAGGAACTTCGGTGTTCTGTTCGACCCTGAGCTGTCCTTTCTTCCTCATATCCGCGCCACAACTGGCACCGCCCTCCATCACCTCCGGAACATCACCAGACTACGGCACTACCTCACCCCTCACGCTGCTGAAACTCTGGTCCACGCCTTTATCACCTCAAGGCTGGACTATGGGAACTCTCTCCTCGCCGGCCTTCCCGGCACCTCCCTCCACAAGCTGCAGGTCATTCAGAACTCTGCAGCTCGTGTACTGTCCCGCACCAGGCTTCGGGACCACATCACTCCCACCCTCGCTCGCCTCCACTGGCTCCCCATCCCCCAGAGGATCAAATTCAAGATCCTCATCCTCGCCTACAAGGCCATTCACGGCCTTGCTCCCTCCTACCTCTCTGACCTACTATCCCCCTACTTACCTGCCTCCGTTCCTCTGGCTCCGGTCTGCTCCACATCCCCTGCCCCAACTGCTCTACCATCGGTGGCCGGGCCTTCAGCCTCTCAGCCCCTAGGCTCTGGAACTCTATCCCCCAGTGTCTTCGCCTTACTTCCTCCGTTTCTTCCTTCAAGGCCGGTCTCAAGATCTTTCTCTTTGACCGTGCCTTCAGTTCCCCTCTCAACTCTCTACCCCTTCCTCGCCCCCTCCCTTCCCTCCCTTCACCCTGACCATTTCCCCCCTCCTCACTCCCTCCCTCCCCTCCCCCTGACCATTTTCCCCCTGCTCGGCTCCTGACCCAACTGTCCAGCGCCTTGGGACGTCCTCCTGACGTGAAAGGCGCTCTATAAATGGAATCTTGTTGTTGTTGTCTTCCCACTCAGCTCCTTATGCCCCTCAAAGCCAACAACTTAACAAGTAAGATGATCCTAGCTGACAAACAATGGGAAGCTCAATAATATGCCTTATACTAATAAACTGCATTGTTTTAGCTGGTTCAATTCCATCGCACATTTGGAGCAATGCGCATTTTGAAGTGCTTAAATGCTTTGACACCTTCCAATTTGCATCTGTGTTTTCTGGGTATATTGCACCATTTAGAACTGGAAAATAGAAACTCTACTTCTACGAATTCTGAGCAGCTGAAATTGCAAACTTAAGTGTGGCAAGGAGTACACAGTTGATCAGAATATTTTTTGGAGATGGTTAAGTACAAGAAATAAGCAATGTATTTGAAAGCAGCTCGATCTTACTCACTTGGCATTCTGAAGTTTCTCTTCTTCTGTCAGGTCTCCAGTTTTTACAAGATCATACCTGACTGATGCAGGCTGAATGGAATCAATCAGATCCAGTATAGGAATGCTCGTGCTAATTTCTTTGTCCTGCACATCGAATAACAAATACATTGATCAATGTATATCAGAAACAGGTAGAAATGACAAATAGAAAGGAACAGGTATTCATTGTATGTATATAATTTTTAAAAAATCATAAAAACAATTCTATACATCACTGCTACTTTATTTAACATAACTTTTTTCAACTGTAAATACAAGAACAATGTTTATAAAGTTGTCAGCTACCCTAAAGGTTGAGAGAGTTGCAGGTTATGGGCCAGGAGCTTGATGATTTGAATCTCAGGCTGTGCAGACTTTGCTGGTCTCAACTGTATGGGCAGGTTAAATTATCCCTGCCCTCCCCAGAATTAGGGAAGGGATAACAAGCCAGCGTTCCTGTCCCACTCCCTCTATAGCATTCTCTATTGATTGTATGCATATATGCCAGCTGGCTATAAGCTCACAACATTGAGTTACATGAGTGATAGCCCTTCAGCCCAACTAGTCAATGCCAGTTAACTGATCAAGTGGCACTTTGGTGGGAACTGTGTAGTGGATGGCAACAAGCCTTTATGAAACCATACTCCAGCAAGAGGAGGATTACCAGGTGCAGAGAGGCATATGCCAGTGGGAAGAAAAAAAATCTATTTCTAAAAATAAGAAAATTTTTCTTTCATTACATTTTAATGCAATTTAATAGTGAGTGGAAAATAAAATATAATGTGTAGCTAGTGCAAGTACCTTAAAGCTTGAAATAGATGAGTTCTTCCCTGATTCTGATAATTTCTCATTCACCCATTTCACAATGATATCATCATTGACCTTTTCTCCATCACCAATTTCCTCAAGAATATTCAGTGTATACCTAGAGACAGAAAAAAAATGTGTTTTCCATGTACAGTCCATATTTCACAGTCATCTTCTAATAAAAGCAATGGGATCATACAGATAACATGATCAAAAATATTTTGCATTTCAATAAACACATATGGTAAACGTAGGAACATGAGTAGGCCATTCAGTTCCTCAAGCCTGTTTTGCCATTCTATTAGATAATCGCTGACGTGTACCTGAACTCCATTTTCCCGCTTTTGCTCCATATCCTTTAATACCCTCACCTAACAAAAATCTATGGATCCCAGTCTTGAACATTTGAATTGATCCAGCATTCACAGCATTTTGGGGGAGAGAATTACAGATTTCCACTACGCTTTGTGTAAAGTAAGTGCTTCCTGATTTAATTCTTGAATGACCTAGTTCTCTAATTTTAAGATTTGGCTTCTTGTTCTAGATTCTCCCACCAGAGGAAATAGTTTCTCTATATCTACCTAGCAAATCCCTTTATCATTTTAAACACCTCAATTGGATCACCCTCAATCTTGTAAACTCAAGGGAATAGATTTTGTAGCTTCGAACTATTTCTTACCTCATTTGTTGACCAAGGTTGCTTAACTACCCAACTGGAGCTTTTAGGAGTATTTACTGGTTTTGTATTGTAGCAAATATCTCTTTGAATAGTTCCCACTGTTTTCTGTAAATTTATCCATTAAGAGTTCAACCCAGTTTATTGTGGTCAATTCATTTCTCATCTCTTGAAAATTTGCCTTATTTATATCTTTGGTTTGCATCTCTCCCTTTTCCCTCCCGAACCTGATATCAAATTCAATCATAGTGATCAAAGTGATGAAGGCAGGGTGCAGAGAAAATAATTCAACAGTTCATTTATATAGCAGATTTATATAGCATCTTTCATGTAGGGCAGGGGTTGATCATTCGAGGTGGAGCTGTTGCTCATAATCAAAAAGACAAAAAGAAGGAGCGATAGAACTGTGTAGTTTTTGAGGCAAGTTGTAAATGAAGCCGGATGCACAAAGTATTTCATGTGTCTTGAAATAAAAATATCAACTTTAATGTTTAGATTACAGTAAATATCACTCCTTCCTCTTGTTTTTATTCAGTATGCGCGAGATGTCACCTAGTGGCGATGACCGGTTGGCGACCCCTGATAAGGGTCTCAATGAACTTCTAGGGACAGGGTTGGATACCGAGCGAGGGAGAGAGGGAACAGAAGGAAGGAGGTGTTCATTGGTGCTTTCAAAGAGGTAGGTTTTAAAGACAGAGAGGAGGTGAGATTATACACTAATTATAATCTTAATCTGTAGATATTTCCATATTGATGGTTAATAAAGGAACTTATAAATACATCAGTTTGAAGATATTTCTTCTTGTCTGAAGATCACAAAAAATCCAGTACAAGTTTTGCAAATTTAAAACTACAACTGTCCAGTTTTTCATGTTTATCTGTTATACTTCAATACTTTGCGATTATTTAATTTAAAATGTTAAACTGGAAGTACCTTCTCATTAACTGCCACATCAAGGCCAGAATTGGTGTGTGCTTGCTTTCATTCAGATCTTGACCTGCAATCCCAACAAGTGAAAACTTGGCTTTGTTCTTCCCCAGATGCACTGCATAATTACAGTTTTCAAGCTAGTGGGTATTAAAATCAAAGTGTTAGAGGCCTTTGATTCTTCATACATAACCATCAAACTAACAGGCATTACCATCAAACTAACAGTACATTTTACTCACTTCCTCTTACTTATCTTCCTCTTTGGGTATACTCTTAAACTGCAGATAAAGAGCTAGATCAGTCCATTAACCCTCACCCTGACATTCACTGTGCTTTATATTTGTCTTAAAACTTTCTTCTCTGGGATGGATGTAATAATAACCGTTGCAATTGATATAGTGCCTTATCACATCGTTGAGATGTCTCAAAGTGCTTCACTGGATATACTGTGAAAAATGGCATGAATGCATAGAGAAATGTCTCACAACACCATGGTGAATGATGAATTTTATTTGGGGGATTGTTGGCCAGGGCACTGCGATAAATTCCCTTCTCTTTTTGAATAGTGCCATGGGATCTTTAACATTCAGCTGAACAGACAACCAGAACCTTACTTTAATGTCTCATTCAGCATACCCTAGCACTGCATTGAACTGTCGGCATAGACCATAAAGATTCCAAATCACAACCTGTTTTTTTTAACCCACAGCTTTCTGACTCAGATAATAACAATGGACCGCCTGTAATTTTCCCCAGAAAAGCACATGACGGAGGGAGATTCTACTAATGGAATAAAGGATTCTTGGCTGCCTTCCCCTCGCTAACCCAGGAGCACTGAGACGAATGCTTTAGTTAATTCTATACCTGAAATATAATAATAATAATAATCCTTGCATTTGATATAGCGCTTTTCACATCGGGAGGACGTCCAAAAGCGCCTCATAGATCACACTGTAAAGTGAATTGACTCTATATTTGTGGGTGAACGCGGCAGCCAATTGCGCACAGCAATGTCCCACAAACAGTCATAAATTGAAAATGACCAATTTATTATTGTTTTTGGTTTTGGAGGGATTATTATTAGGCGTGTGGAGTAAGGAAACTTGCCCAGGATTTCGCCCTGCCTGGAATTGAACTCAGGTCTCTTGCTTGCAAAGCGAGTGCTCTAACCACTGAGCTACAGGACTCCATATCTGTACCACCTGGTCTGTATTTCACAGTACACAAGTTGGTGCCCTTATCCACTAGACCTTCAAGAGAAAAACCTTTAATGAACCTTTTTCAAACTTTCTGGAGAATCTTGATTTATTTAAATAACATTAGAGACTCATTAATGTTCATCATTGGTAATCAGACCTTTTACAAGCATAACATATGCATTAATCAGAAGGTTTTTGAGCTTGTTGTCTTACTTTCTTCATATTGGCACTGAGTTTAGGATACGGTGGTTTGTTCACTTGACTCCAATCTACTGGAACCTTGATCTTTTCAAGGAGCTGCAGAATCACCAAGGCATCTTCCAGGTCACTGGAAAAAATTATAGAAAATGTAAACCTTTCCACCAGAAAAAGCACAAACACTGCAGAGATTAAAAAGTGAAATACCAGATGTTGAAAATCTGAAATAAAATTAGAAAATGTTAGAAATGCACCCTAAGTATTTGCAAAAGGAGATTTGTGCAGCATTGACTGTGGTTGAAACAAAAATATCAACATATTTAAGAAGAGTTGATACAACCATGAGGGAGAAGGGAAGAGCGTGGAACAGGAGTGGTGGAGGCTTGTATAGAATATAAACACCAGTTGGGCAGAATAATCTATTCTGTGTCATTTTATTTTGTGTAATTCTATGTAATTCTTCAGTCTTGAAATGGAACATCTCAGACGGGACCCTAAAAAGTTATATAAAATGTTAAATTGAGAGTGTAAGCTCAAAACAATATATTTGATGCACTGAGACAGCAGAACAAGAGAAAACAGTTTCAGGGTTGTAAAAGGCAATTTAAGGAAAGCATTAATTTGCCCAGAGGGTAATTAACAGCTGGAGAAAGTTATCAAAAAGGGTGAATGAGAACTCTGGATCCATTTAATAAAAACAGCTTGATGCTGTGTTGGGAGGATGACGGGATGGGTATTCTGGCAGGATGAGTTCAAATGGGCCAAAAGACCTTCTTTACTATTATACAAACCTCTTGCTTGTTCTTCTTGAACAAGCTCTGATGAATTATATTGACAAGATATTCTGTGCATAGGCCAGGACTTCTAAATAATGGGGAAAATGTGCTGAATTAGCTGACCTTAGCTGTATTTGTTGCATGGTCTCAGTGTCTCTGAACTAGAGAAGAGTAAAATTGGCCATGGATGTTGCTTTCTGATTCAATATATTGCCCTCTGCTGAAAATTACATACGTGTGAGGATTGAGTTTATTCTCTCAATCCTATTCAACATTTTATACACTTTACAGGGTCCCGTCGGAGATGCTCCTTTTCAAGACTGAAAGCTTGGATATCATAGTCAAATACACTACTGGCTATGCTGACATAAAACGTGTCACACAGTTACAAGAGGATGGCAAAGACTTGTGGAACCTCATATGACAGCACCTTCAGGAGAGGAGGGGAGAAAACTGGACTGGGAAAAGCCATTCATAAAGAATGATGATGCACAAGTGGTGTAAAGTTCTTATTTTTCAGATTGGAATTTGCACACATTTTCTTACCCATACAAATGGTTCACACGAGGAGAAACACCAAGTGAGTTCATCCAGTTCCTGAATGTTCTTTCCTCTCTTGTTTCACCTACAAATTTATAACAAAAATGAAATCAATTGCCTGAATAATCCACAGAATTTTAGCAAGACAGATCAGCAAGTGCATTTAAATTTCAGTGAATCATATAGAAACAACAAAGACTACCAAAATGTCAGTACTAGAATTATGGAAAAAGAATTACATAGAATATTACATGCACAGAAACGGGCTGCTTTTATTTATTTTAATAAAGGGAATGGAAAACTGCGAGGATTGAATGATACCTTAGTTATTTACTTCAACAGAATTAAGTCATAGAATCAAAATGTGCTACAATCCAGTCAGGAAAATTTTTATATGTCAGAAACTTCAAATGAGCTGACCTTCCAGGAGACTCCAGTCAATGTCCTGGTTCTCTGGCTTGCGAAGGGCTGGATATTTGTTGAAGAGATTGGCAACAAATGCCAAGTTTAACTTGGGATTTCCACGGATAACATCTGTTGCCGTAACAAACTGTCTGCAGCCAAGCTTGTCAGCCTGCTGGAGCATGCACTCTGCTCGCTTGAGTTCATCCTTTTCCTGCACAAGAAAAATAATTAACATCATCAAGATCTGTCATCCAATTTGATTGAAAATATCAATGTGAAATTCTTCAACGTATTCAACATTGAGTAAAAACTACACACCATTTTGTTCTGAGATAGGACGATAATTATGAAGCATCCTTCCTTTTAAAGTTGGATTAAATCTTTGATCAAATACAGTAGAACCCTGTTGTAATGCGCTTCATTATAATCCAGGCTCGCTTATAGTGGGACTGGGGTATGGACGTCAACATTTACTTACCAAAAAAAATCAACCCCCCCACCCTCTTTTGGGTCCTGAATATTCTCCGACCTCTGGGATACAGGTTGCTGCTCACATAATAATAATAATAATAATCCTTGCATTTGATATAGCGCTTTTCACGTCAGGAGGACGTCCCAAAGCGCTTCACAGAACACACTGTAAAGTGAATTGACTGTATATTTGTGGGCGAACGCGGCAGCCAATTGCGCACAGCAATGTCCCACAAACAGTCGTGGATTGAAAATGACCAATTTATTATTGTTTTTGGTTTTTTGGAGGGATTATTATTAGGCGTGTGGAGTAAGGAAACTTGCCCAAGGTTTCGCCCTGCCTGGAATTGAACTCAGGTCTCTCACTTGCAAAGCGAGTGCTCTAACCACATGACATGACTTACCACACATTGTGAATGTGGAAGCGTTGACCAGCCATTACACCCTGTTATAGTACTGGTTGGCATTTTATGTAGCTGAACTATTACGTTATAACAGAGCTCTAATCTACTTTTTTTTCCTAGATGTGCCTTTTTAAAAAAATGAATGAGAACATAAAAAAATAAGGTTGTTTAGATACTTACATTGATACCAGACATATCAAGCACAATAGGAGGTTCTCCCTCTTCATCACCTTTTGGTGCAATTTGATTGAGAAGGTGGAAGTAAGCTTTTGAATCCTGAGGAGAAAAGGTAAGGCAATTACATCCTGTACAACATAAGAAATGTCAGACCATTAATTTGTGCATTGATTGTGGACGGAAGTTTAAATTCTGCAAGCAGATGAAATATAATTGGCAATGTTCATTCAAATAATAACTTGTATTATTGTCAATATGGACATCAAAAGTGTCTTAATACAAGCTGTGAAAAAATATGGAAACTTAAAGATATGAATAGATAGATACCTTCGTAAGGCTACAGAAGTCACTCAGCTGTTGAGTTCACCCCCAAAGAATCAACAGCCCAGAAACAGCAGAGGTTCCATGAGCAGCATTAGAGTTTAAACAAAAAGTACAGGAAAGTAACAACTGGAAAGGCTTTAGCATTCAAGGAGGAAAAAAACGCTAGGATAAAACATTCAAACAACTACTACTGTTTAGTTGCAGTACAACCCACTACTAAGGTAAATATGCTTGCAGTTTTTAAGAAATAAAAGCCTTTAACAATCATCTCTTCCTGTTGGACTCCTTTACATTATTTGTTTTCTTCCTAGCATTTGTTTCACTGAAATATAAAAACATTAACAAACATATTTGTGTTTCAGATATAATTTCAATTTGAAAGGCAATGCAAAATAATTCTTGATTCTAAATATAAGATTAAATTTCTGTGTTTTAATATAACTTAAAATCATGAAGTTGCAGGAGTACACAATATGTACTATGTCAATGACTAGAAACCCATATCCCAGTTTCTATCTATAATGACAACTAGCCTTTCAACACATGTTGAGTTGTCAATCTTAACTGATATATCAAGAGCAGCGTTCAGTGGTGAGATTCTGGCCTAAAGAATGGGAGGGAACCCTCCCATACCATTTATCCCTCGAACAGGAATGATACACCAGTAATAGTCAGATGAATCAATGCTCTTTCTCAAGGAGGGTCCCAAGAGTGCAGAAGGCACAACTGGCAGTAGGAGCAGAGAATATTATATAAATAACAAAAACGTGGCATTAGCACCAGGCAATCTCCACAAACATCCACAAAGTGAATTACCAATTAATCTGAAGAATTATTATTCATGTGATCTTTAACATTCATATAAACAGGTCCTCAGTTTACCGTCTGATTTGAGACATTATAACACAATTGGACTGAAGTGACAATTTAGACTTGTGACTTGAACCTATCATCTTCTCACCCAGAGAGAGTGTTACCGACTGAATTAAACACCTCTCTTTCAGATTTGAGGTGCTCACCCTATCTTTCTCACTCTGATGGTGATCAACCTGCTGTATATTTTCAGGTATTCTGTTTTTGTTTGAGATTTCCAGCATTTCAAGTTTGTTTTAACTCTCATGATGTAATATATTCAACTTTTCTGTTTCTTAAAAATTGCAGCATTGTATAAACTAGTGAAAACTTGGTCATTGTGTCTTGCATGCAGGTAAGTGCAGATCGTTAACTTACTCTCAGAGCAAGTATATATTCACATAGCTAGGGTACTATAGTCAGGCAACTGTTCCATTCAAGCGTCAGGTTGGTTATCGTGAGTTTACACATTCACTTTGAATAATTTTACATAACGTTTTAAAGAGAAAATTAGGAAGACACAGACAGTAGAATTGATAATCTGACTTACTTCAGTTTGTTCAACAGAAGACTAATTTTAAAAAGAACAGCAAAAATATTACTTTCACCAACATTGCTCCTTATCCTCATGAAATGCTAAATTAAATGACTGCGAATTGCTGCAGTCTCCCACTGAAATAACAGATTGCACCACAAAGTGTCATAAAGCCTTACTGCTTTTATCACAATCATTCTCTGTGTATTGTAGTCGGGGGAGGGGAGAGAAATTCCATTTGGGTCTAGATTTAAGACTTTTTTCTTAGCATTTAAAGTCTTCAAATCATGCACAACTCTAAATTAGTCCGAAATTTGAAGACTTTTTGTTCCAGGTTCTTTTAAGAAGTGCAGAAACTCTAGGCTGCAATCTTGCAAGAAGATACTGGTTCAATTACAACAGCCACAATTCTACGAAAGGGGACTGCACGGACATGAGACGGAAATATTCTTGGTTATAATTGTAATGTAGATCATATTTTAGTTAATCTGAAACAGTATTGGTGACAAAAGTGTACCATGTGCATGTCAAATTATGGCACATCATGTACCTTAATTAAATTAACGCTCTACCTCTTTTATTAAGATTATTAATGTAGATATTCTGTATATATTGAGATTTTATGCAAAGTAAGGTGCTTTCATTTTAAGCGCATTTAATGTCTCGGGACCAAAATATAATTTAAAGCGGTAAGGACAGCCTTGGTGACACAAAGTCTGTGACCTGGGTGAGTTATTGAAAGAAAAAGGCAGGAAAGGATCACGTGTGTCATTGAAAGGGGAAGAGTTAGGACAATATAAAAGGAGGGGGTTCACTGAACTCGGAGTTGCTTTTCGCCTTGTGTGTCATCAAGGAGATACATGCCTCCAGGTCAAGATTGTTTTTTCTTTGTGTCAAGGTATTTTCTAGTCCTTAAGGTTGTGACCGTTTATCTTGTTCCAGGCCGTGTAAGTTAGGCCTAGAGTTTAAGGACCAATAAAACACCATTGAGTAAAAATCAAAGAGGGAGGGAGGAAACACAAGCAGGTTATTGCTGAAGTCAGCTGTCTGGTAGCGCAAAGGATGCTGATGAATGCATCCCTTGTTGCACAATAAGGCAAGGGATTACCTGTCATCGTTTGTATTTTCGTTTCACTCAGAGACGAAACTTGCAAGATACAGAGAAACGATTGATACAGAGACTACCTAGTTGGTCAAACGCTTTATCATAACCCGGGTATACAGTTAGGGGTGAGAACTGTCGCACATGTTTTTCTTATTCATTTCATCAACATTTATAAAGCTTTATAATACTTTTATTCTTCATTCGTACCTTAATTTCTGAGCTAAAGTTGTTCACTTTTTTACATCCAGCACCTTCCAGATGGTAGTTAGCCCAACGTAGCAGCAGTTCCTCTGGGGAGAGTTTCAGAAGATCTTCCAGACTTTCACCATCTCGGAGCAGGGCAATCAGGGCTGGAAACAAACAATATGTGTGAATAAAACTCCATTAACAATAACATTAAAATGATAAGCATCTGTATAGAAAAATGCAAAAACCTACAGTTGCTTGAGTATAATTGCTCATTATTTTCTGAAAATGCATAGCAATGTTCCAGTAAAAGAGAACAATTAATTTACGCGTTTAGACAAATGATACAGCTGTAAAGACCATTTTCTTTTTCCTCATAGTTGTTCATAGTTGTTGAATGACAGTTAATTTCAAGCAATTAGTGTATAAAGTAACGATGAAACACAGCTTGGAATATAACAGCTGTGTCACTTTGCTTTTTTAGTCTTGTGTGACAGTAATTTGAGTTTAACCTAAGGATAGAGCAAGAGTTCAATATGACCAGAGAATGTAACCAAGTTTCCACTAATATTTGACACTTCAATAAGTGTTGTGACTCCCATTCCAACATAAAACCTTCTAAATAAACACTCTAATAACTGTAAATAATACAGCACCAATATATATTTATATAACTAATATTATTTATGTGAGTGTATTTGAGTTATCAACCATCATTGATGGACATGATGAAGTATCACATTCATTTTGCGTGAATTAACATATGGATGCTTTGGGTGCTTACATGTGGAATTATTGCCTTGCTGTTCAAATATCAATTCTTCTAACCATAAAATAAAACTGGGTTATAGAAAATGTGATGGCACTGCAAAATTATTTTTAATTTCCCATTTATGATGCTGAATATTTTCAAAGAAGTAAAACCATAACACATTAACATTTTCATTTCCTGAAACCGCTTTTGTTTCTACAAAAGAATTTCCCCTGTGATGATCAAAGGAGATTCCCTTTTTTGTAATTTAGCATTTATTAAAACCATTCCATTTTGGACGCAATACTCATTTTGTCAAACTTATCTAGAATCATTCACATGTTGTACTAACCATTACCTTGCCTTAATCATGATAAGCATGATATGAAAAACACATCCCGTTAAATATTAAAGAGTTTCAGTATTTACCTTCGCTTCTACTTAGTTCGATGTCTGCAAACAAACCAATTTTGATAACCTGCCACAAAAGGCCCAACACCAAGTAAGCTTTTCCCTCCTTTAGGTCTTCAGCGCCAATATTGACAACATGACATCCAATTGCTGAAGCAGAATTCAAAGCCAGATTCAAGTTTTCCTGTATAGATATCAATGGTTAGAATATTATACTCATCACATTATTATATTTAGAAGAAAATACTGTTCACAGTTATCATAAACAGTCTAATATACTCTTGTTTTCCTAATATTTTCTATCTCTTTAGGTTCTTCGGTAACACGGCTGCCAGTGATCCCGAACTTCAAGACCAACTGAGTGCATTTTAATATCAAAAACATATGTATGTAATTATTTGTTACAGATGTAATTGTGAGTCATAAGTGAATGTAATTTTTTTAAAAAGGCTAATATAACTGCAAATATTTTAGTGTACATATACAATGTTCTGATGTTCAATTTCTCTCACAAAATATCCAGTCACTACACTTTACAGAATATTCAGTGAAGCGCTTTGAGATGTCTCAATGACTTAATAAGGCGCTGTATCAAATGCAAGGGTTATTATTAAGAAGAAATTATCTTAATTACTATACTTCTTAAATACTATTCAATATCAAAATATTTAGTTTCCATTACATTGATTCACTGTTGAAATAGGTGCCTTCAGTATAATGATTTATGATGAATTATTTTCAGTACCTGTATGGTGAATGGGGTGAGCTTCTTTTTGTTGATTGTCCTCTCATCAATGGTGTCTGGTACTGATAGGTTGATCATTTTACTAGATGAATTTAAGCAATTTACAAAAAAATTAATTTTCTGTGACTATGACAAAGACAAACTAAACACATGAAAATTACGATTGTACTTGTTTTAGTGACAGGCAAAAGTTTTCCTTGATTTCTGTTTTTGCTTTCCTTTTGATTATGGTGGCAGTATATATCAATGCCAACTTGCCTGCTGGCTCTCTGGAACTTGAATTTATAATCTGATGGGAAAAATATCAAGCTTCTTGTAGTCCTATGTCTCCAGTAAGAGTGTTACAGAAACAGGGTCGCTGGAATTGATCTAATTCTTCTAGAAAGGCCTAATTCCTTTTCAAACTGTTAGTTCAAAGATACAGTAGAGAAAAATTGCAATTAGTGCAAGTTAACTCTCACTGTACTTAGTTACACTGGCAACAGAGTACGACCAGGTTCAAATAAGTTGTTAGTTACTAGTCGGGTTGAATGACTGCATTCTACTCTTGGGTAGCTCCTCTCTATTCTGTGTCGATGGAAGCTCGTAAATATCACGAATGAAGCAGTCAGAGGGCCCCTCATATGTCAAGCTATGATTGATTGTCCATCTTCCCACTTGCTAGAAGTTTGAAGGGAAGATGTAAGCTTCTCCTGGTATAATTAAGTACCACTGAACTGGTACAAACAAACACATAACCAGGATTTAGCTCCTGGAATTTGGGGCCATATTACTTTGTACAAAACAATGTTAAATAATTTCTTGGTCAAATAGGAGGCGAAACTGATGAGAAAGAATTCTTCTGATGGCATTCTGTTCCAATGATAATGTCTCATGTTTTCTTTGTAGTACATATGTAGTACATATGTAATCAAAGATTGAATTACTTACCAAAGGACAATGCCATCACCAACAGCAGCGAAAAGGTCAGTGTCACTGTTGGGATCCATAGGAATGACATGTTTACAGTCTGGATCCTTCTCCAAAGCCTTGTTGATCCAGTTAGCAAAGGCAAAGCGTTCTTCCTCTAAATGAATAAAAGATTTGAATGGTAATTTATTCTAAATCCTGGTTCTGACAGTTTTCCATAATTACAGGCAGAATGAGGAAGGATGTGTGCTGGCATTTATCCCAAGTGCTCCAGAACCAAACCAAGTATTTGTAGTGTAGTTTGTAGTAGTGTAGTTCATAAATGTTGTGAAAGGTAATTAAAGCATCATTTATATGTGTAAACTGTGTCATCAAACAGGAGTCTGTTCCTGTGATTAAAGATCACTATCAGAAGAATTCAGTTCAATGTGCCTGTAGCCAAACTCTAAGGTAAGAGTTAGGCTACAGATAATCAACACTACTGAACATCTTACAGTATCTATCAGAGGAATATTTTGTGTTCCAGCATAATGGAATTATAGCAGATGTTCTGCATAAGCATTCAAAAAGCATCTACTTATTTGCATTGACAATTATAATGCCCTTTCAAATCAGACTATGTATAAACAAACTATCTACAATGATTTAGACCAAAAGAGATTTATTTGGTTAATTCGATCTCATTTGTACCTGAGTATGAGTGCTGTGTTCCTTCACTGGAGTTTGCAGTACCACCAATAGCACAGATTCCCTCTTTTTNGTTGATTTGCTGTCTAAATGTTTTAGCAACTTCACTGCTCTTTAGGTCGTTGAAAATCTAGGAAGATGCAAAAAACAATTATTTAAGTTTGTTTCCACAGGAAAAACCAAAGCCATACCCCAAATCACTTTCTTTTCGCAGGCAGCAAATTTCTAGCAAATGTTGGGGTCAAAATGTAGCACAGTTTAACAGCTTGAGTCGAGCTGACATCTATCTTTAATATTTCATAAACTATGGATTTAATATAAGGGTTTGAAAGAGCATTTTAAATATTGAGCACTGTAGTGTGCAAAGTTAAATGTGACAAACAATAATTAAAATCAGGCATCAGTTTTTATGTGGGCCCATGACTTTCCCATTCAAAGCAACAAGTTTATTCTTTAATGGTAGTGGTATTTAAGCAGTAAAGTCCAATTGATTGAGTAATTTGCAATCAATAATAAGTTTAAGGAGCCCAACTTACTGAAATAAAGTCATCAAAACTGATCTGGTCCTGACTCTTATCTCCAGAGGCTGCTAGTTGTTCTGCTATTTCTCGTATTTTGTAACCTGGCAATGGTAGCCTGGCTTCTTTGAAGAGATCCTGGAGTTTACTGGAATTAATGTATCCGCTCTCTTGTGTATCTGAAAATGAAAACCTCCATTTAAAACTTTTACATCATTTGTTTGGAGAGAAAGCATAGAACTTAGAGTACCAGAAACGGCAATGCCCCCTTCTCCCCCGGTTCCGTTACCCAGCCTGAATTTTAAACTTGTATTGAGCTAATGACTAATGACATAGTGTTTTATAAATTCTTCAGATGTCGGTCTCTTCTTCCTTATCCCGACACCTTGGCTCTGCCAGAGAATTGAGCTCCAAATAGAATTCAAAATCGTAAATCCATCTGAATGGGTGAAGTTCTTATTATTTAAAAGAATCTGAACTCCTCCACTGGTTTGAATGTTTCCTCGGCTAATAAAAAACAAAATATTTCTTTCCGTAAGTTCACTGCCCCATGTTACAAGTTTTTGTTCATTCTGCAAATGCATACACTGCCAAACCACATTGCTTTGTTTTTCCTATGCACTGCACCACTGCTGGCTTATGATTTCAAATAACTGCATGACTCTATGTATGATTCCCACTTTCTACCATCTGTCAGAGTGGAAATCACTTGCATCTATTTTGGTCTTTTCTTTGGTCTTTTAATGTGTAAGCTGTTTCCTAGTTTTGTATGTGAATCACAGTCCCTTACACAATGCAAAGTTTTTTTTACAAATTTTGCATTCAGACTCTAATTTCTTGAGTGAGGGAAGAGGGAGGAAAGTTTGGGCCTAATTTTGTTGTCAGTATAAGTCTATTAATCAGAATAAATTGGATTCCTACATTTTTTAAGGGTGGAAACTAAGTACTTGAATCTATATTCAATAAGGACTCTTTCAGCAAGCAAAAAGAGACAACTTTCATCTGATTAAACTTCACTGAATATAAATGGAGTTCTCAGAGTTAAACATATAAACTTTACTGATAGTTCGGTTACAGTGCGGGGCAACTGATGTTTAATCGCCAGAGAAAGAACCCATGATATAAACTACATGTAGCCATTTTTTGTCACGCAACTCACGAGACCTTGGCTTTGACGAGATCTTAATCAGAGCCAAAGTCCTACAAGTCAATGTGATGTACTTCTGTTTCTAAGTGTTAAGTGCCTGAATATGATTAGTGGTAAATCTGAACAAAGGGCAAAAAATACTAGAAATAAATCTTGGAAACCAAGGTCTATTTTTGTAGGTGGCGAGGCCCTTTGACTATTTATTTTTAAATTCCTCAGAACCTCATTTAAACCAGAGATAAAATGAATGCACTTTCAATTCAATTAATCTAGGTCTCTGTTGCTCATGTTGCCATAGATAGAGGTGAGTGATTAGGTTACTTACCAATTTTTGAAAAAGCATCTCTAAGCTCTTCTATCTCCTCTTTAGAGATCTTTGCTGTTTCAGTCATCTTCTTCTAATAGGTATAACTAAACAAGTCTGTGAACAAAATTATATCCATTAAATTCATACCTATTTATTTCATATTCATGAATCAATTTTTATGTTTTTCTCAATAATCTTTATTTAGATTATTTGCTTTAAAATATGTAAATATTGCTTGCATTTGATATAGTGTCTTTCATGTCAGGAGGGCATTTTGAAGCGCTTCAAAGTGTAATTACTGTGTATTACTGTAAATTTCTTCAACTCAATCTTGATTTACAAGCCCAGCTTCCAAATCAAGATTGTCTGTGGGCAAACACAGCAGTCAACCTCCGCACTGCAATGTTACACAAATAGCAATGAAGTGAGCTTCCATTTTTTTAATCTGGGAGATTAGTTGCACCCCTAACAATGCAGTACACCTCCAGTGCTTCATTACAGTATCACTTTAGATTGAGTTCAAAATCCCAATGGGGATTTTAACCCACAACCTTCTGACTCAGAGGTGAGAGTGTTACCAAGCAAGCCAAGCTGACATCTAGCCTATACGTACCTACATGTAGAAATATTATGACCCATTATTTCCAGTTAGCCTTTATTCTTCCAGTCATAGCACTGCAGTACTCAGAATCTTTTAATTCTCCCCCACTAACTTCCTGTCAATATATTCTAGGTATGATTACATCATTTTGTCTGCATCCTCTTTGGTAACTGATCTTCCGAATATAAAATAAATGTTCCAAGCCACTCAAAGATAGAACAGTTATTTATTACTTTCTGAGAGAAAGATATTTAGAATATTCTATGCCACAACTATGAGCACTTACTAACTACATTATCATGACCGTACCCCACCCCCCTCACCCACACACCCCCAGCCTGATGCTGCATGAATCTTCCTGGTTTGAAAACAAAAAAAAATGAGAAGTTTGATTTCACATGTCAACAGAGCAGAAGAATGCTCCGAACTCTCAGCAGAAGAATACTTGTCATTAATGAAGTACTAGGATATAGTTAAAATATACACGTGGTAATGTCTAACATTGGTAGGCTGAATTATGTTTTTATAGCATAGCACAATTGCCACTAGTTGGTACAATACAATCAGCACTGAATTTTCAATTGGCTGAAAAACATAGTTCTTGCTTTTGACATAGCCCATGTAACATCAAAAAATCTAAGAATGCTGCACAGAAATTGCTGTCAAGTCAATTATATCTGTAGACAAATTTGAAAGCACAATAAGAAAACAACAAATTACATTTTTATATAGCACCTTTCACATCAGGAGTATTTCCCAAAGTGCTGGATCCTATGCACAGCCATGTATTGAATGACTAATTTAACTGGAGGATTAATTTCACACTTTGATGATGTGCACAATTAATGGGATCTTCAATTATAAGTGTACATCGAAGAAGTATGCTAAACTTATTGGCACACAGAGTATTACCTCCCTACAAGTCTGAAATCTTTATAAAGTTACTTTTCCAAATACTCTTTACAAAGAGTATTTGGAAAAGTAAAACTTTGCAACTTTTTTTTCCACCGTGTAAATAGTTTTAAAAAGTACCATTGCATTCTGAATCAGTTTCTGATTTCTGATAGGAAATTGTACAACAATACAATACTACATTTGAAAAGCGCCTTTCAGGTCGGGAAGACATCCCATCATCAATAACTTGCTTTTATATAGCACCCCTCATGCAGGGGAGGCATCCTAGAGGACTTGTACATAAAGTGTGTACAACAAATGTTAACATAATGAATTTCTAAAGTTTCATGAAAACATTCAGGCAATAAAGAACTTTCTCCAAAAAAAGTATTTTCAAAAACTGTCACAAAAACAAAAATATTTTTTATTGGTTTCCACTATACCTTATAATCATGGCACTGGGCTCTTGCCAGCCTTCGCCTAAAACGCTGCGGAATTTGGTAATCAGTATACATCCCTCTGGACAGAGTGTGCACATTCTATTCCAGACACAGACATTTTCATGTGCCAGTGATATGCGTGGAACTCCCAGTGTGGTTTGGACACTCTTAAGCATGGTGATGTGTTTCTTAATGCATCTCGTCTGTATTTATTAATATATATAGTAACATTGTTAAAACTGAATTAGTAAATGAAGTGAAATAAAAAGTGAAGCGAAACTACCAATGTTTATAATTGTGCACTGAACACTTTGGATACTTATTTTTAGAGTTACATTTTTTTTTCGCAATACCTAATATAATTGAAAATTCCAAATCACTTTTAGTGTAATTCAATGGACTGAGAGCCTCTTACTGTGAATTCACCATTCATTTAACAAAGTGCTTAGCCCTTATTGAACAGTGGAAAACACCTCACAGAACAATGGAAACATTTCCATTCGTATAGCACTCAGGAGCGGAATTTCAAAACGGTTACAGTGCTGCAAGGGCAGTTAGGCTTTCTAAATTTCGTAACACAGCCTTTGCAGATTTCAGATTTTGTTACTGCAACTAATTTGTTTAATGCATACATTTCTTGAGCTTGGAAACGATTAAGTCATACGTACTTTGTCAGAAATGCAGAGACGATTGTCAATAAACCAGATTTCCTAACTTGTGTATGATTATCATTCCGCGAATTACAAATTTGTCTGCCGATAAGTGCTATTACCTTCTACATCTCTATAAAAACCAATAACTGACAGACTTGGATTGGAAAAGAAAGAGATGGCAATGTCACAAAGAGCATTATATGTCAAAGTCTGTAATTATATAATTTATGATAAAAATGTATACATCTATATGGTAAAATCAATCATCTTGATCAAACATTGTAGGGTGGGAGCATTTGAATATTAAAGAGCCTTCCCTAAAGTACCAACGCTTGAAATAAAATTGCCTTTCTGTACTGACAAGCTTTAAAACTCAAGATGCAAATACAAGATTTCTCCAAAAGGGGAACCACATTGTATCTAGATAAAGCAAGAGATGTTTTCTGTTGCTTCATTTCAATTGCAAAACTACTTGCTACAACAATTTAGCAATACCACTACCACTAGTGTTGCTGTAGACATTGCCTTATTTATTTTAAAGCAGTCAAATCCACATTAAGGCAATGCTAAACGATCTTCGTGCAGCAAAAAGATATCTTGGAAATTATTACATTCTCACCACGATCTCCAGACTTTTATGCAGTTTGTTTTCTCTCCAATATTCATGTGAATATTTCCACATGCACAGTTATTTTTAAATCATATAAAATAGCAATTTTCTGAGTTGTTTCTTTATTCATTGAGCACTTCAGACGGCTGACAGGCAGTCATTACCTCTTAACAATTTTCCTCTTTTAAGTACCTTATATATGAGAACATCTGAAAGTGAAGTAATAGCATGGAAGAACAATATGGAAGATTTGCTTGATTCACTTGGATTTTAGGGAAGCTATATGCGGAGCTTCTCCAGAAGACAGAGTGGATAGGGTGAAGTCAAAATGGGACAGGTTTTATGCAGACTCTGAAAGTAACAAGCTTGAATGCCTAAAAACTGTTTCTTATCATTAAAGCTTTGCTACATCTCGAAGACGTGATAAGGCCCTATATTAAATGCAAGGATCATTATTATTAAATTGGCTCCTCAATCTCAGTATTCAGAGTACAAGTATCTTAATATAGCCTATAATTTATATAGCCCAGAATTCTAATGTTAAATATTATTACTTCACTTTCAGATATTCTCATATATAAGGCGCTTAAAAGAGGGAAATAGTTAGAGGTGGTGACTGCCTGTCAGCTGCTGGGTGTCTGAAGTGCTCAATGAATTAAGAAACATTATTTACCATAAGGTATATTCAAAACCAATATACAAAACAATACCCATTTCATTTCATAAATTTGAAATATATCCCATTCTATACTTCTCTTCAACCGTGCCCTCAGCTCCCTTCTTGACTCTCTACCCCCTCCTCGCTCCCTCCCTTCCCTCCCCTTACCCTGACCATTTACCCCCTGCTCGGGTCCCGACCCAACTGTCCAGCGCCTTGGGACGTCCTCCCGACGGGAAAGGCGCTCTATAAATATAATCTTGTTGTTGTTGTATACTTCTGCAAAATTTATCAACCCTGGTGAATAAGACAAAATTATATATAACAAAAATAAAAGGTAGATAGCCTGTACTTATGCTGGCAAAGCCACTCAAATAAGGTTTATGTAAGAGTAAATAAAAGGAAGTTTATTTTCTGTACATGCAACATTTGTGAAAGAATCTTACTATTGAAATATATTAAAGGTGAACTTATGTTAAAACAGCCTTTTCGAATGATACAATCTATGAAGTAATGTGCTTGTTTGAAAACTGTTTCAGTATTTATAATAGGGATCATATGTTCATTGCCTTTCCTAGATCAATGAACAACACACATAGTTAAACACTACAGGCTTAAAAAAAAAGGAGTTTGGATATCTAAGCCACAATGGAGCTTTGCTATGATGAATTGCTGGCTTGTCTTTTTGGTGTGATATTTACTGCTGAAATCTATAGTATTTACAGAAATGCACTGTACCATGTACACAGATCTAAACATTCTACTTAACTCGAGTTGTAGATAATTTCTGGATTGAAATAAATTGGTATCTCTGTAATGATCTGAGTAATAGGCATACATCCTCAATACACCAGTTATTGTACAAGCGAAACAGGAAATAACTAATGCGGCAGGTTCCATTTTGTTGCAACAGCCCTGAAATCTTATCAGAGCATAAATCTTAAAAGAAAAATATACTATGATTCTTATCAGCAGCATTACTTCAGAGCTGAAATAAAATATGTATTGAAAATTAAGTCACATTTTGTACAGATTATAAACCCTATAATCATGGGTACTTGGCTCTTGACCAACATTCGTCCAGATAAACAAAAGTTTATAAAGTTTATAAGTTTATTCGCCCAGATAAACAAAAGTTTAAACAAAAGTTTAAAGTTCCCAGCGACTTCTCTTTTTGTCCCCCACATAAAATTGGCCATTACTTCATGGCTGTTTGTGGGACATTGCGGTGTGTAAATTATCTGCTACACTCACCTAC